CTCCCCCCCCCCCCCCCCCCCCCCCTACCTTAATTCTTAAAATAATGTCCACTTTAAAATAAAAGTGTTTTGGAATTCACATTTCGACGATCCCGTAGCTAGGCCTACTGGGGGCAGTGAGACAGTAATACTCCTGTTTTGCAATTTCTGTTTAGGAGAAGCTTTTATGATCGACGTTGGAACCGAACACTGTTTATTAATTCATATAAAACAGGAGAAATTCACCTTTCAAAACCTTATACTAGTAGCAGTGCATTGAGCTAAGGGAATGATCTAAGGGAAATAACTCGATTTACTTGACGTTCAATTTAAAGACCACAAATAACTAGTTAAATTTTGCCTATTGCCTATAAACGAAAAGGCTTTAATCAACGCGATATAAATGGATTTAATTCAACAATTGGGGGTAAAATAAAACAAGAAATGTTATTTCTAAACATTCAGCACCCTACATACATCAGACAGGGCACCTTTATGCCATTTAATCGTTTTGCAAACTAACACAATCGTGAAATTTCGGGAAAAGGTCCAATAAAGAAGTGGACATTTTCAACTACTTGCTGCTCCTATAACGATTTATACTGCAGACATCAAAACAATTGGGTGTTTGGGGTTAGAATCTCCCTATGTAGCCTTTTGTAAAACGCCCTTGTCTGGGAATTCAACACCCTCCACCTCGGTATCGAGATCTGCTCCTTGATGCATTCCCGCTCCCAATTTTAGTGTTTTTTATTGCCGTAGCCTTCAGTTGAAGCCCCAAATTATAGGCAACCAATCATTAACCCCCCCCCCCCCCCCCTCTTTCTTCATTTCACCCTTACTCCTAAGCCCACCACCCAAAAAGTTCAGATATAAGGAACTATATATTTTAATTTAGGGGAGTACTAGGTTGTCCGTTTTGATCTATCCTATAGAACGAGATAGAACCAGTAGCTTTCGAGGCGACCATCACTACAGTTCTGTTAGACGGATGTTCATTACTTTTTATGATTCTGAAAAACAGACAGAGAAGATTTGAGATGAAATGAAGTCAAACTAACCATGGCCGTAAACACAATTTTTACTGGGAGTAACTGAGAGTAACCGGTACCACCTGGCAGTAACTGGCAGTAACTGGTACCGACTGACTGTAACTAAGAGTAACTGGTACCGCCTGGGAGTAACTCTACAGGAATAACTGACGCTTCATGGAGACACGCCGTACTTACCGAACATCACTAATATAAAGATCGCCAGCATTATTCTTATTATAAGCCTCAGCATACAGCTCTGTGGCATCACCTCGACGGTATATATGTTCATAGAACACATTGACTCCCGAGGAGGTCGTGTTAAACGTATAGAGGTATAGAGTCCCTGTGTTTCCGGCGGACACAACCACATAGTTGTTACCATTATCAGAACGAACGTCTATAGCTTCTACTTCCGGTCCCTGAAATGGAGGATGCTGAAGCTGTTGTTGCTGATGATGATGGCCATGGCTGGTGATTAATGACAGAATTGCCTACGATGCTGATGATGATGGTGTTGCTAATGATGATGGGTGGCGATGGCTGATGATGAATGGCGATTATTGATGATGGTAGCGATGGCTGCTGCCTATGATTATGGTGGTGTTGCTCCTGATGATAATAATGGCATACATTGATACTTGGTGGTGTTTCTGCTGATGCTAACGAAAATGATGATGATGATGATGCTGAAACAGCTCCTTATGATGATGATGATGTTGATTTCTTCCTGCTGCTCCTGATGAGGATAACCCAATGGAATTGATAGGCCTAGTAATGGGCAGAAGATAGCAATGATGATAAACCAAGATGGTGTTGAATGGAAATGTCAGTGAAGAAGAGATGTATGTAAAGAAGGATGATGATTAAGTAAAGATGAAATAGGCAAGGATGATGATGATTTTGTGTTAATAAACATCTCACCATGTCGTCAGAGACAGTGTCTTTCAAGGACTCTGCTGAATTTTGATCAGGGTCGACTATATCAGTGTTAAATACAGGATAGTAAGGATTGACTGATGACGCCCTCTCCAGATGATCACCACTATCAAACAACAAGTTATAACTAGTCGCATCCCAAATAGAAAATCCACGACCACCAAACGTGTGGACTTTGTCAATTTTACCCGTAAATTTAGAGATTCCATCGATCTGACTGATGTGGAGACGCCCTGAAATAAATTTCAAATAAATAAATAAAATGAAATAAAAGGAAAAATCAATCAATCAATAAGGTTAAAAGGAATTAATGAAATAGATCAATAATATTTACCAAGTCTACTGTCTTGACCAAGTTGAGCAATTAAGGTTGCATTATCAATACTAATGGTGTCAAAAGAATTGGCTGAAATATAACATAACATCAGTGAGTTCATAGTCTACTCTTATAATGTACACAACCTGCAGTAGACAAGAAATTGTTTCATCCTAACAGTAGAAACTCTTTTTATGCAAGCCTCTCTGACCTCTGGCATGGTCTTCGATATCAGTTAGCTGGAAGCCAATATCAACTTGTCATGAAGACGATTTCATCACCTTGCTCGTGACCAAATACAGTTCTAAAGCACCATCAGAAACTGGTTCTCTTACCTGAAGCTAAGTGATGACCTCTAGCAGCATGATTGAAATTGAAACCATGTGAATCCTGGGTATAGCTAGTCATTGTGCCTTCATCTGCAGTAATCAGATAGTTCTTCTTTTTAATTTTGATAGATTTAACAGCATCAGGGAGACGGTGAGAGTAGATGGGATAGTTTCTCAGATGTACACCTACAATCAAATAGAAATGAATGGAGTTTTACATTCTAAAATCCTAAAACACTATATCATAGACACCATTGAAGTATAACAATTGATTTTCACATCCTATTCTTCGGCTCCTGATTGGCTAATTCAGCCTGGCCTCCTGATATTACTGGTAGAACTCGAACCCTGGTGATAGTATCTGATGCACCTAGTAGCTGTTTATTTTTATTGTTTATTTTTATACTTACCCCCATCTTTGTCACTGGCATCCATCCCATAATTTATCCACTCTTTCGTGGGTAGAACTACCAGCTGGTCTGCTGCCACACTCTTAATATTGATTCTTCCAATAGCATCATTTTCCTGAAAGTATTACAAGACATCAGGAAATTCTTTTTCATTTCTGCTGTCCTTAGCAGCTGATCATTGGCCAAACGTCTTATGTCAGGCTGCCAGACTTGGACAAGCTGACCACCTTCGATGCGACTTATGAATAGAATAGTTATATATCAAATTTTGTATTTGGTACCTGAAAAGTGACGTAAGCGTAGTTATTGTCTACAGCAGTGATGGTTTCTGGTTCCAGTTCCTGGGCCACAGTGCTTCTCTCTGGCAGAACAGCTGTTGGAATCGCTCTGCCTGGAAGTCGAATATCTTCTCTGGAATAGAACACAACAATGACATTCTACACTCAGTAAAATCCAGGCCGTGTATTCTCGAAACGCTCTTAGCACTAGGATGTCTTAGAAACAATGTTAGAAGATAAGAACCTAGGATATCCTAGCGCTAAGATCGTTTTGAGAATACGTGGCCCGAATTTTTGGTAAAACCGAAAACTGGTTTGTCATAAAAAAAATGAACAGCAGGTGAAGCAACCGGTATTAAGTAATGGCTTTTGATGCCAAACGTTTCTGGAAAGTTAGAACTTACCTTAAATTGAAATTATTAAAATCTATAAATTTCTCGATAGCGTTTCCAGACAAATCAAAGTTAATCAAAGAGATGGAACCTTCAGGATCTACGTATCTTTTAAGATGGTCGACACCAGGTGAACCTTCGTTAGCAACCAGTAAGGTCTTACAGTCAGGTGTAAACTCGATATTCTCTGGCTGTACACCAACTTAAAAATATATTGAAATGAATTAAGTTTTATGTCCTACTTTTCCACAGATAAATTATATCCGCACAAGGGTTGTCTTGTTCCATATGAACGATTAGACGCTTTACCAAGGACTGACAGGACTGTAAAGAAAAATCAGAAGGCATTATCTTTGGCAACCCTAAAACTATGAAGAGGCCTGTTGATTGGTTGGTTAGAAGATCATTATAGCACTAGATATATCAATAAATCAAGGGCAGCAACTCTTCACTTACCAGTGATTTTGTTTCTATAGTTCAAGGAATTAGAGGCTGAGTTGTAGAGGTCAAAAAACTGAACATGACCTTCAAAAACGCTGATATCAGAGGTCAAGGACACTGCCAGACGACTGCCACAGACTTCAACATCCTGAGGGACGCCATCACCAACTTTGAACTCGTAGGACATCAACCGTACTGGAGTATTTAAGTTACTGATATCTATAACATGGAGCAGTTTAGATCCACGACCTGAAAGATAATTGGAACAGTGTTTAACATTAACTATTGACAACACCTTTCAGTATGCAATGAGGGAAAATTTACACCAACACAGTAATAATATCCTAATATTGGTCCAAATTTTGCTAGGAAAGCAGCATTAGCATAAGATAAGCTTTGAGCAGATTGAGGATGGAAAAATGGCTCCTTAGCAACAAGTAGTTACCTCCCTTCTCTTCCCCCATACTTGAGAAGATATATTTACCGACAATATAGACAATACTGTTTGTAGAATCGTAGGCTGTTTCATGTACAGTATCACCGAAGAGTTTAAAATCTATGTTAGGGGTTACTTGGTAGGGTAATCTCAAATACCCTAATTTAGTAAAATAGGATCTTCCAACGATCCCTGACACCAATACTGCCAATAATGTTAGTCTTAGAATCATTTTGCCTGAAAGTAAAGAAAATAAAAGTAAAAAAAATGAACATTGCTTAAGAGAATAGGCAAGAAACAGAGCTTCGCTTTAGTGACCCTTTGCATTTCAAATTTGCTGCAAAGAAAAGAAAGAGAGAAACAATACTATTTTACAAGTATAACAACTTAGGTTCACAGTTAAGGATCCTTTCTACCAGCTGGTCTTTGGTCAAACCTTTTGGCATTAATCTTTCCTTGTAAGATTTAAGATGGCTCAGCGTATAAGCAAAAGGGCGGAATCATTTAAAAAATAGTCAGAAAACAAAAGAAAAGTCTGGAAAAGCAAAGTAAATCTCTAGTTCTCCCACATCTTACCTTGTTGACAGGTCAGTTAGTGAAAGAAAGAATCTATCTGGTGTATCTTTAACATCTGGTTCTATTCCCACTGTTAATTCTTTACTAACTGATAAGATTAAAGATGCACTATTGAGAGAAAAAGTATGATATTTGAGTTCTTATCCTTCTGTTCTAAACCTTATTGAGCTCTGTCTGTCCGTCCACAATTACTTGAAAACAAAAAAGACTTCAGTTTCTATCAGATTTTGAAGAAAGTTATCTATGTATTTGCGAAGTTCTTAAAAAATTCAAAGCTTTTCTGTCAAGGGCCTTGAATGCCTGTACTCACTGGAGTACAATCCATACAAGATATTGCTATTGTAGTCAAGGTATAAGAGGAAGTTCATAATAGCCACTACCACTGTAATACCACTGATTGTCTGTATTTGCTGGTGTACAATCAAATCGCTGTCAAGGTATATGACAAAGTTTGTAATAGCTTGACATTGTTAAGTTCGATACCACTGAATCTTTAAAGTTTTAAACCATGTTCAATATCAACAAGTACATGGTAGGTCATTGTCACTTTAAGATAAGATAGAAATACTACATTCTTTTCATTTTTACTAGAAATATCAGAACTCCTTATAAATTATTGATAATAATGACACAGGGATTAATACAAAAAAGATAAAAACATAGGGCATAAATAAGATAAGGATTGGAATCCACAGCACTTAATCACCTAGCAGACGTCGTCCAATTTGCTATCAACTGAGCTGTTCCACTGTCTTGGCAGAAGATAATCTAGCTCGCTGTCAACTGAGCTATTTCAATGTCTTGGCAGACAACAATCCAATTTGCTACCAACTACCAACCAATCCAATCCAACTTGCACTGTCACAAAAAGACAGTGACCATGTTATTTTAAGTGATTAATCAAAAACATGCAAAATATATTTTTAATATACATGCATATTCATAACAAATAACAAATTGATTAATAACAAAAATATAATAACAATGTTGAGTAATAACAAATAAGTCAAGCAATAATATTCATGCATATCTAGGGGGTGATTAAAAACGCAAACACGAACAGTCCATTTTGTTTGTAGGTATGATAAAGAGTATTTAATAAATATGATATAAATAAAGTTCTTATAGTTTTAATTACTATTCATTCCCCCCACCCCTAAAATCTGCCCTGTCAGTGTTTTGTATCACCCACATGTTCAGGAATATGCTTAGCAACATAAGTATTAAACAGTTGTAAAGGAACTTTCAACCTTCCAACAAAAATGAGCATGACCATGCATGTGAGAATTATAGAAGATTAAAAATTATTATAAATATGTTACTTGTTTAAATGAATTCAAAGGATAGTTTTTATGATAAAGTTTAAAACATTGACTTAGCATAAGTTTCACTTTCAAGATTGGCTTACTGCACATTGCACATGACTTTGACCAAACTGATATTTTACAACTTCTACGTTGGCTTAATGCTCAAAACTTTGTCCAAAATAATGTATTACACTTTCTAGGTTGGCTACCATCTATACTAAAATAGGCTCGGTAAAACTAGCCTCAATTTCAGCATCTTCGTTATAGCTCCCAGAATCCACTGCTGAAAGCGTCTGACTCCATATTGCGATTTTCCCGTCCTTACTACAAGATCCGGACATGACGTAGCGATCTTCTGCTCGGCACATTGATCTAATGGCGTCAGTGTGCCCAACTAATTTTTTCCACAGAGTTCGTTTTTCAAGAGTATAAACGTGAATTTCCCACTCTTTCGTTCCAATCCACATCTGAAAAAATACGAGTCTATCTGATAGCTTTGCTCAGGGAAATGACGACAAGTCATAGTCCATGAGCAGACAGCGCCAGGGAATGGACATATAAACATTAAAGTCATAGAACAATCCTAGATCTCAAGATTCAAACGATGATCAAGGGCAATAACTCAAAAAATTCTGTTTAAAAGAGGGTGCAACTATCATGCAACTCATGCAAAGAACAGCCAAAAATAAAACTTGCATGCAAACAGCTGAATTAGTAAAAACACTAGCAGACGTCAAAACGACCATCAAACTCTGCCTACCTTTTCATTGGACAAGACCATAGTTGTGATGCCACGTTTACAGACTTGTATGGTATGGTCACAGTTTGTCGTCTGTCTGTCCCATACCAAAACCACACCTTTTCTTCTAAGTCCCGCCCATAACTGTAATGATCATATCATCATTATATAAAATTGACAATTCAATACCACACCCTTTCTTCGAAGTCCGGCCCATAAATGTAATAATCATATCATCATGATATAAAATAGACAAATCAAAACCACACCCTTTCTTCTAAGTCCCGCCTTTTTATTAAGTAAGACAAATGAGTACCTGATTTGGTGTGATTTCAAAACAAGCGATTTCCTGATCAGGTTGTACATCTGCCATGCAGGAATAGTCCAACTTGCTTAACCATTTTCCAGATTCATCAAATACTTGTATTCCACTCCATGTACCTGTATAGTATATCATAATAATACAAGGGCAATAACTCTTGACATACTCATACAATTCAAGAATACAAAACCTTCAAGTAGCTGGAGCCATCATTATATCTATTATGTCAAAATATCTTTCAGAAACTGAAAAAGAGGCAGATGTTTCGGTCTAACTGAGAAAACACTCTGGGTATATTTCATCACTATCAAGGGCAATAACTCTTACTTACCACACCAAAGTTTATTATCAGCCAAACGTAAAGAATGTAGCCAAACTTTCCCCTCAAGATGGATAACTTGAATAGGCTTTAGAGAGGATATTTCCCATTTTATAATGACACCATCTAAACTGCCTGAGAACACAGACCTAATAAATAAAAAAAATAGAAGATGAGTAATGCCATGCAGTGTGCAATGAGAGAAATTTTGCCAGGACAGCAACTGTAGCTTACTCTTTTTGCAATTTCCAACTGTCGAGGGATATTTAACGTGCACAGCCTATAGCTCACAGGCCCTCTGTTTATTGTTCCATCCCATCAGCTTTCTAAACATGTATTACTTTTCAGAATGTAATTCTAACTTTCAGTTAGTCTAGGAACTAAACCCAATCCAAATTTCATTGGTCTAATTTTGAGAGAAAATGGTTTACTTTTTGTCTTGTGAGAGGTAGATAGAACACACCAAGTCCTTATGATCTGAGAGAGTTTTACTAGTGGTGAGAGTATCAGTTTCTATTATATAGATTCCAGAAGCACCGGCCCAGACGTGATTATCATCTACAGATGCCAGACTGATCTACAATATTAATTTCATAATAAACAAGGGCAACAACTCTTGATAAATCATAGATAAGACTATAGACAAAATAACTTGGCCTCAGATTAATCTATTGGATAATGAACAAGGGCAATAACTCTTGATAAATCATAGATACGACTATAACAGAAATTTCTAATTCATATTTCAACTTACTACATTTTTTTTAGTTGTCACGTAGTTCGTCTCCAAGAGGAAAGTCGAGGCATCAAATATTCTAATTTTCCTATCTCCTAACCCACACCATAATCTAGGGGCATGTTCTTCTCCAGCGGGGGTTACAACTACAAAAAACAAAAAAAAAATATAACTATGTACCCCTTGCATTAACATTGGCAAAAATCCCCTGTTTAATCAATCATTCAGAAACCAATCGGCAAGATGACATTGGCCTTATCCTGAGGGTCCTGTTATTCCTGGTATAACCATCTCCATGAACACACACCACCCTCCTCCCCCCATCACATGTGAAAGAATAAATATGTAAGGTACATACAGCCTGGTGTATAAAGAAGAGTCTCAACTGTAGTTCTCTGTCTTTCCAACTGATTTGGGTCAACTCGTTTCTGCAGGACTGTCAGAGTTGGTTCAGGTAAAATATGGCGTCCATCTGCTACGTATTTGGTGTAGTAACACAATGACTCGGCTGATTCACCCAATCTGTTGAAATGAGCTGACTGCTCAAATAGTCCACTGAAAGGAAACAAAATTAAGATTTGATCTAATGTAGCGTCTGTACCACATCTTGGCCTGTTTTTAACCAGATATTCTCCAAATCAGCTCAAGAATCAGGTGAATCAGTCGTTTTCAATTTTGTTTAATAGAAGCCCAGATCACAGAAGATGGCTTGATGTTTTCTTTAACGAAAGCCCCTACCTCCTTATAACTGCATCAATCAGAAGCACATTCTGTGATGCCTGATGGGTAACAGAATGATCTTTAGTTGCTATGGAAACCAGACGACCACAAATCATTTCTTGTATCAATAGAAACCACCAATTTCGATCTTCTTTCAACCATATTGTAAACTTTATGCTGCCAGCTGGAATGAATGAATGAATGAATGAATTGGATAAATGAATTAAAAATTGACTATTGCATCAGGTGTTCCAATGATTCGCAAAGAGTTTCATCGATTAGCTATTTTGAAAAACACGTGGTTTTGGATATTTTGAGACACAAAGAAAAACATTACAGCTTGTAAAGCAACGAAAATGATGACTTATACCTGCTAAAGGAATATGCTGTAGTTTTGGATTTGAAGACATGATACTGAAGCTTTAAGAAAACTATGGAGGAACGAAAAAAGATATCTTACTTTCATTTTGGATAGATATAGCATCTATAGCTTTAAGAAAGGAAGAGAGTTGAGTTTTCTCTATTTTAGCTACATCATGAAGTTTTATTAATTCTATAAAACTATTTGAACCATCTTTTAAAAAAAACAATCTGAAACACATTCAAAAATTATTTTAACTATTTAAAATCTTAGTCCTGCATCAAAACTAAGTTCTACCATGCAGTCAAGTTCAAGTCTGCAGCTTGAAGTCTGCAATGAAGGAAATTGTGCTAGGATATCACCATTTCATTTGCCTTCTCTTTACATTTCCAACTGTTAATGCACAACTAGTAGAAAAAGAGACTTCCATTTAGCGCCATTTCTAAAAAAAAACTTGATGCTTTATCCATGTCAGCCCATCACTCCTGCATCATTTATAAAGTGAATATCCCTCCCCCCTCCATTCCCCACACCCATACCTTTTGTTAGTCAGGGCGATTCTACCAGTTCTATCATTCATTTTCATAAGAGATGAAACTCGTAAGATATCCTCATGATCGATATCATCAGCTTCAAAATTATCCAAACATTCTAGACAGATCTTTTTATTTTCTTGATAACATTTATCAAACATCTCGAATGTCAGCTGATCTACAACTACAAAATATAACATAACATAACATTAATATAACATAACATAACATAACATTAATATAACATAACATAACATAACATTTATCAAACATCTCGAATGTCAGCTGATCTACAACTACAAAACATAACATAACATAACATTAATATAACATAACATAACATAACATTTATCAAACATCTCGAATGTCAGCTGATCTACAACTACAAAATATAACATAACATAACATTAATATAACATAACATAACATAACATTAATATAACATAACATAACATAACATTTATCAAACATCTCGAATGTCAGCTGATCTACAACTACAAAACATAACATAACATAACATTAATATAACATAACATAACATAACATTTATCAAACATCTCGAATGTCAGCTGATCTACAACTACAAAATATAACATAACATAACATAACATAACATAACATATAACATAACATAAAAGGGCCAGGTTTGTCATCCGTTTGACCAATCATATCTTAGTCTCAGAAACAAGAATTTTTTAACTCAAGCTACAATAAAAGTGTTCACAGCTCGCTGACAAAATTTGAGTCTTGTAAAATCAATGCCAAGACGTTTGAAGAAGGACCAGCTGGTAGACAGGATCCCTTCGAACCTAAGTTGTTATCCTTGTAAAATATAGTATTGTTTCTCTCTTAAAACAGAAACAAACAGATTGAAACTTACATTTGGAAGTTTTTAGAGCAGTGAAGAGAGCAGAAGAAATTTCATAATCTGTAGCCATATCTCTTAAAGCAACAGCATCTAAAAACTCATCAAAAACTGAAAGAGATAAAGAATGGGAAAGTTCACATTCTTCTAAATAGGCCACTGTAGAGATACAATACAGAGATACAGTCAGTGGACAATGGGGGGAATTTTGTCCCAACTTGAACAACTCATTAAAAATTGAAAAAGGAAAAGGAGAGGAAATCCTGCTTTCCTACTCCCTTGGGCCACTGTAGAAATGCAGTGCCATACAGTCAGTGTGCAATATGGGAAATTTTACCAGGGAATCATACAGGTCCTAATCATTACAAGCCTTTTAGAGAGTACACATTCTTTATGGTTAGACAAACCAAGAACTATTTCTACCTCCATGGCAAATGCTTTCAACAAGGCTTTGTAATCAGACAAAATAGAGAAAATTTGACGATGTACTTACATAAGTCGTGATCTGGAGGGTGGATATTAGTTTTAATCTGTTGCCTAGTAACATAGTCTTTATTATCCAGTATTTGTTCTATCTGACGTTCGTATCCTTTCTGTTTATACAGCTCTTTTTTCTCTTTCTCTGAAAGTTCGTCCAGCATTCCTCGTATTAAACTGGAAAAACAAATCTTCACTCTTCTAGACACCTGATACCACATTTCATTATGAAATACTCACTGATGATTGATATACTTCCTTATGTGAAAAGTTCATTAGCTGCTACTAATGTTTTGCCAATATGTTGTTTTGTTTTGCAGATTGGATCGCTAGGTTATTATATACAACAATGATATTTCTGCTGCTGCACCACCAACGTTCACAGGCTAGTAGTCTACTTCAAGGAGAGCAGGCTTCTCACACTAATGGAGACCAAAACACAATGCAGCAAAACTAAATAAACATTTCACTATCAAACAGTACTTACTCTTTTGGTTGTAGACTAGAAAATCCAGACTGTAGATTAAAAAGGTCATCTAGGGATTGTGGGTAATTGCCGGCTGCTGATAGGAACATGGCTCGTAGATATCGATAGGAATTCCTTGCTGTATAGTCTTGACTTTCCTGGTTGAAAAAATAGCAAATGATAGTTTAATGTGGTTGATAGGAAGGTGGGGATAGCAGTCTAGCTAAAGGTACCCTCACACTATAGTGATTACCAGTTGTGTATAGTTGCGAATGGCCATGAGTTCTGAACGCAACTCACAACTAAGATGTGAGTCTCACGAAGAACACCAATGAGGTGACTGTAGTCTAAGATGTGAATTTCGTCTAATCAATGCCAAGTTAACAATAGCTCCTAACCTTTTTTCGGTGTGAAGCTTTAAGCTGACATGGCAGACCAGTTTAAGCTTGATCAGCTGCTCAAAGATAAGCTCTAAAGCTCAATTAACGTAGACACTATCAACCAGACACTTGACTCTTTGTCCTGTCTGTCTATAGATTATGTAAATAGAAGTGTAGACCAACCTCTATTTGAGTAGTCAGTAACTGTATACACTGTCTAACGTAGGTATTAATATTATTGAAACTCGGAAGAAACAGAGTCTTATATTCTTGACGATTAAAAATAGGTAGGCACGCCACAGACACCTGTTTACTCACTGGCTTTCGCGACCTGTCAATATAGAAACAGAATTTATAATTAGAACTGTTAACAGTTGTGAGCAGGGCACGACTCCTTGGTTCCCTGGCTTTCATGACCTGTCAATATATAAACAGAATTTATAACTAGAACTGTTAACAGTTGTGAGCAGGGCACGACTCCTTGGTTCCCTGGCTTTCGTGACCTGTCAATATATAAACAGAATTTATAACTAAAAGCACTGAGTGTGGCACGAAATCGTCATTTTGTTTAAATGATAATTCAGAAATATTGAAATATCAAAACAGAACCTAAAACATGTTGTTACACAGAGTTTCACCTTAAGCGATCTTCAGACAACTGACCTATTTCAGTCTGAGTCCATCTTGAAGTTTGACAGAGAACACTTGTTCTCAAGCTGTAATTGATAAACAGAGACACGATTAAAAAATGTTACCTAGATATTGTAGGTTGTGGACTCACTGAAGTCAAACTCATCCTTTTAGCAACAGGTCGTGATTTCAGCTCCGTTTCAGACCAATAATCAACTTTCTCACTGAATCTGTCTTGTAAAAACGCTTTAAACATGGAAGAAGGTAATATCTGGAAGAAATACAAAATGGTTTTAAGCCCAACATTAATTCAAAGAATCTCTAGTGATAAAGTTAAAGAAAAAATTGTAATGTACATTTTGATCGTGTGCGTGTGCGTGCGTGAATGCATGAATGGGTAAGTGTGTGAATGGGTAAGTGAGTGAGTCAGTGCATGAGTGGATGAATGCCTTCACGAGTTCATGAGTTCATAAGTACATGAGTAAGTATGTAAGTTATCTACCTTTTTATAGAACTCTCTACACTCTGAAGGTACACTCTCTAGAAAACCCTCGTGATTGAAGTACGTTGCTCGGATCTTTATATGATCCATGATACCTCTGAAATGTAGTAATAAATAAACTAAATACTAACGATCTCAACCACACAACGAAACACAAAATACAAAACTATATGTTGGTGAAACATTGGTAGCAGCTAATGTCTTTGAAAACGATAACTTAAATTTGGTATTTACTTATTAGCTGTATTAAAACACCTTTTACAGAATATCAATATCAGCTTTTGCTATAGTGATGTCAGTAAACACTTACTTATAGTGGAATTGCAAGAGCCACAGACGTCTGATTGAAAATTGTAATGGTGTAACGATGATATCATTGTCCCCAATACTCAATAAAGTTTAGAAAACCTCTTTATAATCCCAATTATTTCAACATTACCCACCTAAATAGATTGACCATTAACTCGAGACAAGCAAAACTAATATCACCGTTAAACTTCTGTATCATCTTCATAGCTTGACTTCTCTCTGACTTATAGTTCGTACAAAATGGCCTGAAAAATTACAGGCAGTTAGCTAATCAATTCTGCATCCTTTTCAGAGTGTTCAAATTGCAAAAAAACAAAACTCAGTATGAGCAAAACAATTCCAGTAACCAAATATCTTGTCCAAAGAATGACATAATCGGAAGCAATAATAGTATAGTAATGGACTTCTTAATCATAAAGTATCTTGCAACTGCCATGATGTCATAAAAGTTCAAGTCTAAATTGAACCCTGGGTAGAATTCACTTACTTAGACACCTCTGAAAGTTCACGTTGAAATTTGCGACTGATACAACCTTGTTTAAAAATGGTGGCTGGAGCTCTAGGCATGATGGTAAGTCGTTGACACATCGTGTCAGATGTTGGTTCCTGGTCGTTTATGACTACGTTGATACTGACTGTACCTTCATCAATGTTCACCACCACAATATCATTGATCTGAAAAACAAAATGGAGATTTACTTCCATCCTAGGCTAAGTTAGAGAGATTGTATGTGTATTGGTGATAGCATTGTACTATGGTTCTTACAATTCCACCTAAGCTAAGTGTTTTATGATGTCACTATCGCAAAAGTTGCTTCAGATATCATGAGGCCTTTACGATGTATAAAATGACCAGTGTTAACGAAATTGTAAGAACAACAGACGTCTAATTGAAAATTTGAATGATGTAAATTAGAGAGGAAGCTATCCATTAAGAAATTTAACAGAAACAGAACAATAATCACCTGTTTAACGACATTTAAATGTTTACTATGACAACCCATCATAAAGGCACCGATAGCTTCCAGGAAGTCTAGCGCTGACTGCGACAGAATCGGTACATAAGTAAATCTCCATTCAAAAGGTAGGATAAAATATCTAAAACTCTGTAAAATACAGTAACAAAATAGTAATATTAAATGTGGACACCCTAGAGGGATGCTGAATCAACGTGCCTAGTTAGTAAAATAACTATGTGGACACTACAAAATGGATGCTGAATTGATGTACTAGTAATGTGAACTCTCAAAAAGTGGAGTAGCAAATATATGAATATATAATTACTTACAACAAGTAAGAGAGTAATTTTCCTATTATCATACAATAAAATACACCTTATGATTATATTTTAACAATGTGGACTCTCTGAAAAGTATGCCCAGTTGACTGACAAACGTTCCAAACATTATTAGCTATATGGACTCTCCAAAATGGTAGCACAATACCAAATTACAATTTGAATGAGCTTACCTCCATCACGATTGTAAGCAAAGCATAGCTTGATGATACGAAGCATAGCTTTTCTTCTGTCAGCATAGCTGTAATGATTTTGAGTACCTCTTCCACGTCGAAGATAAGAAAGACGTAATGAAGGGGCATATTAACGACCGGTTTATCAGGTCTATAAGCTGGTGGTAACGTTACTGTCAAATTGTACAAAATAAATTCCTAAAACAAAATAAACAAAACATGAAATCAATTGAATGGAATTGGCTATTGAAGATGGGCAATGCCATGCAGTGTGCCATGAGGGAAAGCTTCTCTTTTTTGATTTTCAACTGTCGAGTGATCATTAATTACACATCCAGTGGCACCAAGGCCTTACTTCTCTGTCAGTTTAGAACAATTACTTTAATGAATAACTTGCTACGTTTCGACGATGATGCTTTCATCTTCATCATTGCCTGATAAAGATGAAAGCATCATCGTGGAAACGTCTCAAGATATTCATTAAAGTAATTGTTATCTATATAATTGTGTCCAGTTATACAGTTTAAATACAAGTGTATTTCTTCAAGTAGAAATTGATTACTTACTATCTGTACGTTACCAGATGGTGGAACTGGAGTCATACATAAAACATAAGTTAAATCTTTTAAAAATGTGTACATTTCCTCTACATCTCTTTCAATATGGTCTACCAAACTATAGAAATAGAATAATATTGATACTGAATATCTGTAAATAGTGGCTGATTTTAATTATATGCGCATATTAAATACTTGCCAATCGAGCAGCTCAAGAGTGAATACTTGAAATTGAAAAGATTTAAACTTGTCATAATGCTGATAGAATTCTTTTTGTTAGGGTTCTCCAAGTTCCTTCATCCTAATGAAAGACATGGCAGGTTTGGCTGCAGTCCTCTGAGCACCAAGCATTATTTCGTTTCCTTCACCCACCCCTGCCTCACCCCCAGGTGTCCTGTGCCATCAATGAAATCTAATACTAACCAAGACAAACATTCTTTAAGAGCCCAGTAATAAGGATGTTTTGATATGAGAACACAACACTGAGGTAAATAACACAACAAATCAGATTTCTCTTCGTGTTTAGTGGTTGTATCCAGGTCAAGGTGTATATTGTACTCTGTATCCTAAAAATAGTAACAAAACATAGTCTTGAACATCATACTAGACAGAGTTCTACGTCCTACAGTTCTGGACTAACAAAATGAAATGGAGTTTTACGTCCTACTGCTCTGTAATTTATGTGGATAATATGTTAGTGAATACAGCTAATCAGAGCACTTGAGATAAATATAAACATCATGGCTTATCGAGGGCTCTGATTGGCTGTATTTGCTACAAACAAGCCAATCAAATCCCTGTATTTATAAAGTCTATCATACAAGAAAAGAGACTAATAAAGTCAAGGTATTAGACGCAGTTTGTAATAGCTTAACACTGTGATATAAATTCTAGCCTACCTGCCAAACAATAAATGGTTTATAAAATGTTAAACAAGTGGCATAACTCTTCCGTCCTGAAATATCCGTCAAGACGAGGAAATGAACCTCATTTTCAGGTTTATGACGATACGCTTTGGCATTATCTGAAAATAATAAAAAGAATTTTCTAGATTAAGGAATCGTTCATTAATCTTAAGGTACACTCTCTCCATAGTGATTACTAGTTGTATATGATTGAGAATAATGAGAGTGATCATGAATTTCAAACGCAACTAACAACTCTGTTACATGAGAGTTGTGTTCGAAACTTATACCCAACTGGTGATCACTATGGTATGAGGGCACCTTTAGAACATCATAAGATATGTTGACATTATATAGTTTCGGTATTCTCCAGTCCATGTTAAACATAATCTTACAAAAATCGTAAAAATCTTCTAAAAATTTCTAGCCTATTCCCAAATTCTTTTCGATTAAATTTATTTTATTATCAAACCTGGAAAACAGAAGGTAGTGATGGAATTCAAAACTTCATCAGAAATGGGCAGGTCTGGAGCAGGCACAGTTAATGTACGTTTTGTTGATAGTCGTTTTGAGTCTGGATGTGAGGAAAAGCTTCGACTTGCATATCCAGACCTTCTTTTTCTTCCTTTACTACCTAAAAAAACAATCATAGGAATTTATTTTAGAACATCTATCTAATGCATTAATTTGCATTAAACTTTAAAAAACTATCAAGGCATCTGATAATCTTCCATGCTCTTGAGAAGAATTAAAAAAAAACAATGCATTGAAACCAGATAACCAATTACCAAAAGATCCACTGTTCGAAAGAGGACAGGCCGAGTCAAGATTTCAGTTGACACTTACCTAGACTCTTAGCTCGAGCTCTAAACAAGACGTTCTGACTCTCTGCTACGTCTGTATTATGTGATGTGTCGTGGGTGGGGGGGTATTTGGGATCCTCTCGTAATTTAGGATGAAAATAATATGCCTTGGAGGATGTGATGGCAGACAGAACCGGCGCCTCGAAATCCTGGTAATACAAATTATCATACACTTCTTTCGAAGAAAACTGAAAAATAACACAAAAAATCGACTTATTACGTCGTGGAAGAGATTCAAAATGGCTGTGTACGTCCGTGTGTGTTATTTCTATGTTAGAAAGGTACGTTTTTTCGCATGTCAACTGGCAAAACAATAGTATAGCTGACAATATTCCCTTAAAAATTTCGAAGTATGTACTGTATACCTTATCAGTTTCTTCAACTGGAATCAGTCCAGTATTTTCATCAATACCCAGTACTAGTGTTATATCTACTAAGCCATTATAGAGACTTTCTGATTTAAGTATCTTAGATATTCTCTTGACACTCATAGTTCCTGGTAGTTCTTACTCTTCTTCAGTTTCCATTACTAATATAACTGAAATAATAACAAAAGGAAATAATAACAAAAGGAAATAATAACAATAGGAAAAAACAAACAGGAATAGGTTCACAGTTAAGGATCCTTTCTACCAGAGGTTCCTTGGCAAAACCTCTTGGTATTGATCTTTTCAAGATTATCTGTATGCATTTATAATATGTTCTCCCTGTGTTCATGTTTGAATATATGCAAGAATGTAGGATATGAATATCAAATGACATACTAACATAGTTTTTTACTATTGTTACTTGGCCTATTAAGCAGCTACGCATTTCATAATGTTACCGTATTTGGCCATATTGGGCGTCAATGCGTTTCGTATTTACGTTACATTTGGGAAACTTCAGACACCTGTGATTATACTAAATATTATTAACTGTTGACTATCAGTTGATAACGTTTTATTATCATCATATTCTTATGATAACTAGAGAAAGATAACACTCGGATAGAATAGGGTCAAGGGTCAAGGGTCAGATAAAACAAGCAAATTAACGACACCCTGTCTTTTTGATAATAACATCAAGAGTCAAGATGGAAAGACATAAAGAAACATCTATATTTTACAAGGATAACAATTTTGTTTCATGAGGACCCCCTTTCTACCAGCTGGTCCTTTGTCAAACATGTTGGCATTGAATTTTCAAGGATAATAACTTAGGTTCACAAGGATACTTGATCAAATCTCTTGGTATTGATTTTAGAAGGATAATAATTTAGTTTCAGCTTGTCCTTTGCCAAACCTCTTGGCATTGATCTTTCCTGTATTATCCCTACAGCTAATAGCTAATCAAATACAAGAGACAAAATGGAAATTCAACTCTCTTTTGAAGTAGTTTCAATCACTCACCTAATTACTTTCCTTGTTTATGATTTAAAATCAGGCTTAGATCTAATTCCCTTTTTTAGACATATGCAAAAATATATACTGCAGTGATGACTTTCATAGTGTCTAAACTACAGACTGTCCAACTATATGACTTATTCATCATTTTCAAATGTAGCAGTGAATGGCAATTGTAAAGTTGAACAGATCCCCTTAGGGTTTCTTCAAGCTCTTGATCGTCCACCTTTTTTCTACTTACCTTGCCTTGGGCACCTTTGCTTAACTTCCTTTTTTAATATCTACCAAAATTACGACAAACTATGGGAGAAGACACTGTATTCTACATCGACAGTCCTAAATACGAAGTAAAAATGATAAAATAAACTGCGATCCACTTGCCGATACATCCGATATATAAATAAAAACTTATTCTCTGCAAATTCAAATTCGCATTAAACTTTTCTACTTTCGTTTTAGTGTAAACAATCACCCGTCACATGACATAATGATGTACAACAAGTCGTCTGCTAATAATTTGTTTTTCAATTGCAAATGAAAGTTTTCAAAAGATTACGGAGAAAACGTATTCAAAAACACATTTTTTCCCCTCAAAACCAATACTTGAGTTTTTTGTTCGACAAATTTTAAACTTCTGAAGTTCAAGGTTCTACATGTTGCACATCAGGAAATTGTCAGCAATGGCGGCAAAATCAAAATGTTTTGGAATTTTTAGTTATAGTTTTTGTATTTCAGCTTTGTTTCTCGCTTGTTTGACTTATAATTATATCAACTGGGTTCTAGGTAGGCTTGCTCGATGTGATCATTATAAGATCATATGGTTTTGGGCTCTAGATCCCCGTATAAAAGCAAAAATAGGCCAAGCCAAAGATTGGCAAGAAGGGGGTGGGGCATTTTTTTAAATTTTCAATAAGGCCTTTGTCTTTGTTTGACTTTCATTACTGGTGTGTAATGCATCAGAATTAAATGTTGATTTCATAGCAATTATACGTCTGTGCCATGAATGTCTTGACATTGCAATCAACAAGATGTCATCCATCATTCTGATTCTTTTTTCCAGAAATCAACAACTGTCTTAAAAATGAAAATGATTGGAAATGGAGAGAATATTTGAACTGGTTTTCAATCACAGAAGACAATAATCTTAACAACTGTAACTTGTGGTTGTGGAAAACACATCAAAATGCATTCAGCAAGACAATCCAAGGCTATGCCGATGCTTACAGCTTCACAGCCAAAGAAAAATATCTTTCAATTCTTTTTGGAGTCTTGGTCATATCCATTTTAGTTCTGCTTTCTTGTCTTTGTTGCAGGAAGACAAAAACAATTCCAATTATTCCCACTAGCCCAGAAGTGAACATTTCTGATGAAACTAGACAGATTTCTCTTAGAAACACCAAAAGTCATTTTGATATGAGAAAATGCATCCTGGTGTTATTTTTCACCACGTTAGTTGTCAGCGTTCCCTGGGAATTTGTGCGACTCTATCAACAGGAAATCTCTAAAAGAGCTGCTAGTGTTTCAGTGGTAAAAATATAAATTGTATACAATACTGATTCTAAGTTTTTGTAGTTTGTTGGTAAACCATCTCTGAAAAGGTCGGGAGTAATGTATTGGCATGTGAGAAGAGGCCACAAAAAACTGTTACGGGGTTGAAAATGAGAGGGAGGGATTAGCTGTCCTCAGTTCTGCACCTCAATCCCCCTCACTGCCCCCTCACTGTAAACTCAAAGCTTTGTTACAGAACTTGAATCTGAAATACCAATTTGTTATGGTGCTCTAGATTCTGTTAATCCTTCATGAATTGTTAATTTGTTTTTCTAATTTTGCAGGGAGCACATGATGAATGCACTGAAAGATCAACCAGTGTTTTTCAATCTATTAAAGTCTTTTTACAATGGCAGTTTTCATGGTCTCAACTTGATAAATGTGAAAGGTATTATTACCATCTCTTGGTGGATCCATTATGGGAGTTAACTCCCTTGCTGGTATGTATCTTCAGCACAAGGTCAAAGGTCAGCACTATGAATTTTGATATAGTCAAATGAATGACATTAGACTGACATTCCCTCACACTAGTTTCATTGGTTGTGAATAGTTAAGTTAAAGAAAGAACATTCCCAATGCATAATTTGTTTCCTTTTTTTTGCAGGTAATATCATCAGCATTAACAAGATGTCTTTTGCATCCAATGGAATTGCTCTTCTCAGGATTGGGGCGGAGCTTCCGAGCATTTTTTGTGGAAATACCTGCCCAATGGCAACCAGTCTTACTTGTGATCCTAACACTAGTTTTGTTGGCTCTCATGTTAATGACGTGTAGCTACCGACTTCAAATTCCGTTACTATTTAACATAGAACCCAAGACTCCAGTTTACATACAAGACTGCAGTCATAGAAACACCAATCAAAATAGCCCTCATTTGTCTAGTAGTGATCTGACCAATAGAAATGGATCTTACATTTCTTCACCCAATCAAAATAGTTCTTATATTCATAGCAGAGCTCTGACCAATGGAAATGGCTCTTACATTTCATCTCCCAATCAAAACAGTTTTTACTTTTATAAAACTAGTGAAAATGGAGCCAATAGAAATGGTTCTGACATGTTCTATTCTTTAAATGATGTGCCAAATAAATCATCTTTTACAAGCAGTAATACTTTTCATGTGAATAACAGACTAGGAGATATTGCTTCGAATGAAACTGTTAATATGAATGTGACAAAAAAACGAAAGTACACTAAGAAATCTAAGGAACAAACTGAAGCTAGCTCGACACCCAAGACTAAATCAACCAGAGCTAGAAAAAGTCGGAAATCTCGTTATGAGGATGACCCTGACTTTGATGATGACCTTTGACCTTAGTTATTATGATGACCTTGATTTAGTGATAACCTTTGACCCAAGCTATATTAGTGATCTTCACTTTGTGGTTTAAGAAAGTGAACTTATTAATATATTTTGTTATTGTTTTGTAATAAAAATGATTCTTTATATATTTGTCGTATTATTGAATTAAGATTCAGTCTACACAGTAAGTGTATGACATTGCAGGGCAACATAATTATAATCTTTCCCCCTATTTTGGTCCAGTAAAGATTCGACAGCCGGGCCAGGGCCCCAAGAAATTTTGCTGGACCCCAGTTTAAAATATCAAACCATTGAGTTCTTAAATGCCTGGTGCTTCTAGCCCCCGACATCTAGTGCTTTATAAAAATGCCACTGTTTTGGTCTTAATCTTCACAGACTTAAAGAATAACACTAAAATTGTAAAAAGCAATATTTAATTTCGTATATATATATATATTGTGGAAAAAATATATTTTTATGTGAAAAAAATAATCAACTTTGGAAAAAAATGATTAGAATGTATTAATTTTGACTAAAAAAATAATTTGGGTTTCAAATTCTATTTCAGGGATTGTAAAGAGGTTTTGTTAAAAAAAAAACCTCTTTACAATCTCTTGAAGGATATAGAATCATACACCCCTTTTAATAAACCACCACTTACTTCTGACTGGAATGTACATGTATTCGTAAAAATTAATGTTGAAATTCAGACAAAAAATGAATAGACTGAAAGGCAAAAGGTTCCTTTCAGCACTTAACATACCAACAATAATCTATAGTAACTGATCAAAGCTTTAATATACTTCTAATAACCAATGAAATTAAAAATTTGGCATCTTTTTAATTTAGTATTTACAGGGTTTCTCAATTAAATTATTTCGATTATTAATTGATTATTGATCAGTAATTTGCCATTGATAATCAATCTCAATTTGGTAATGGATACCCAGTCCTATTTTCACTGACTTTCTCAAATGTCATTACGAATATCATCATTTAAAATGGAGGTCTATATGATAAAATCACATGACCTTCCTTTTGCCTTTCAGTATATTATATACATAACAAATAACTAGAATATGTAATTCAGCCGGCCGTGTCACTACTGAATTTTGACTAGTAGTACCATAATCTCTAAAACAGAAATATTACATAAACAATTGATATATTGAGTACTATTTTAACAGTGAGAATGTTTAGTTAATGTTAATCTCAAAAAAACATAAATATATAAAGTTGGGATTAGACAATGTACGGTATACGATGTTGGATTATGGATACAGAAAATAATCGTGCACGCAGCGTGTCTGACGCTAGTTCTGTTGTCATTTGTATCAATAATCTGGCCTAGATCAAACCATCGTCTATTCCCAGCTTAAATCTCTAATTCAAAACAATAACATAAATGTATAGTTCTCCAATTGAAATAAATATATATATATAACATAATAATAATAATAAATAATTTGGACTAATTTAGAAAATAAATATTGAAGAGTATAAAAATAGAAGTAATGCTATAATAAAGGTAGAAATAATATTGAATTAAGTACTAGATCTATTTGAATATAAATAAGGCAAGAATGATTATAAATAAAATATTTTTTGTGACTATGGCAAGCAGCAAATTATTTATTTATATTTATATTTTGACTCTAAAAACATAAATATTCTCTGTATATGATAGTTTTAGTTTGACTGACTCGTTAGAAAATTTAACCAATGCTGATTGGATGAATAGGTGGGTAAGGTTCTAAAAATGAAATGAAATGAATGGAGTTTTACATCCTACTTTTCTGCACCATAAAGAAGGGCTATGCCATGCAGGGTACAATGAAGAAACGATTGCTAGGACAGCAGAATTAGCCTGTTTTTTTTTCAATTCCAACTGTCAAGGGATCTTTAACGTGCACAGCCTGTAGCACACGGGGCCTTGGTTTATAGTCCCATCCGAACGACTAGACATTCTTTCCCTTGTTGTATTTCGTCAAAATAAATGTCTATAAGCTAATATAACAATTAGAATGCATATATCTTGATATTGACTGAGATTCATAACTAAACTAAACAATAAAATTCAAAATAAACATGTCAATATGTACTTTACAAATTATCTTTGGTGTTTACTTAATAAATCTAAAAGGCAAGACTAGATGTTAATATGCCACTTAATGAAAATTGGCACAAAAATAGAATTCCCTTTTGGCAAGACTTCTAATTCTACTTGATAGAATATCATTTCAGCCATTTGTGTCATTTATCACCATTTAAATTCGATTTGTCAACAATTAAATGAGATAATTTCAGCCATATGTATCTCCTTTCAGAATTTAAATCTGATATGTCAACAATTAAATGAAGCCCTCATTCTTACGATAGATCTGAAAGATAATTTCAGCTATCTGTTTCAAAAATAAAATTTGATATATCTACAATTAAATAAGAGGTAAAGCTCTTAACCCTTTGGAAGATCTAGATGACTAGATGAAATCCTACTAAAATTATATTGCAGTAAAGCTTAAAACTGACTTCTATCAAGTGAAAAACCATACGAGTCTATTTTCAAAATGTAAATTTGATATATCTACAATTAAATAAGAGGTAAAGCTCTTAACCCTTTGGAAGATCTAGATGACTAGACAAAATTCTACTTAAATTATATCGCAGTAATGTTCTATCAAGTGATATTTTTATGTGTAAATGACAGTTAAGACCAAAGAATCTACCTTAAAGTTTGGCTAGAGCTCTGAAATCTATCATGGTAATGAATGGTAGAATGTGAGAATTAAAGAGTCTCTCCAAAGAGAGATAATCTCCAGCTTTACTGAAACTATCGAGAACTGTTGAATGTATAAAGACTGGATGATTACGTATCAAATGTAACTACAAGTATTAAAATGTATCACAGACTAATCTTAACTCATTCCAATCCATCCAGGATAGAAAAAACTTTCATTGTAATCATTGGCAAAATTTTTGGCAAGTTCTGAGTTGGGTCTAAATGGTTGATTGTAATATATGACCGTTCCTTTAGATAAAAACCCTGCCCACCATCCAAATGTCCCCACTGTCATGATAAAATGGTCACAAAGTGTCAACACCGCCATATCGACTTCCCTTCGAGTGCTATTTACAAAAATGACGTTGGGAACTTTAATGGCTGTCTTGGTCCATTTCATATCATTAGAACAGACGACAAAAAGAATCTCTTTCTTGATATGATCTGTCATATATTTCATAGCGTTTGCTAGATACTTTTTGTCAGCAACCTGGTAACCATGTTTACGAAAATATTCGGAAGCAATCATGTCTCCACGTCGGACGTGTATACCAACTAAAGAAATTTTTTGACGTGATTTATTATGAAACTTTACTGCATTCGATAAAACTCTTTTGGCTTTACTGATTATTTCTGGATGAAATTTTAACTGTTTTCTGATTTCAACTTTGTAATCTGCCCAGTAAACCCACGACTGAAAATATCCTTCGAAATAAATATCAGTGTTATTGGGAACTCTAAAAACGCTTGAGTCAAAACCAACATCAATTTTATCAACGTATTTACGAGTTTTAGTGCAGACTTGCATTCCTCGTTTGTTGACTGTTACGTTTGGAATTTGAAAAACTTCTTGAAGCAGCGCCATTTTATCTTCTGGCACTAGGAGAGTGAGGTTCATGGTTTTGGATAGCATGTATGAAAATGAGTATTGAAATAACAAGTTTCCAAGACCACCTTGATAAACTGTACATAAAAATCGTGGACGTCTGGCGTCAAAATAATAAACTGTGTCCATATTATTGTAGAGGTACTGGTAGACTTGATTAGACAAGTTCGTTTGTCGTGAACAGAAATAAAAAATAAACATAAAACTTAACACTGCTGCTATCCTACCTACAAAACAAAATATCAAATATATAGGGTGGGCGAGGGGAGGGGGGTGTGGTTGGATACACTGCGAGAAAATGTTTTTCAATCTTACTGGGTCAACACCTTGCAAGATCAAAGCTACATTCAAGTCTAAAAAGACTTATTTTAATTCTTCTTCTGTGCACCATACTGGGTCAATCTTATAATATTGCCAATAGTCAATTGACTTAGACTTGACTACTAACTATCATGCAGTGAAATGGGAAAATGAGAAACTCACTAACCTCTTTTGAAAAACAGTTTTTTCATCATTGTTGCAGTTCTACAACACCCGAACTCACTCTCCTTACAAACCATTATTTACATCATCTACAAACAAATGAAATAGAGTTTTACACCCTACTTTTCAATTCCTTATTAAGCTAATGAAATGATGTGGTTTTTAGAATGGTATTCTAGTTTAATATCCTACTTTTTTACTCCAGATTTGGATTAATTTCATAAAATTTTACATCCTTCTCCTTAAGTCAGTAAACTGATAGTATATCTTGAGCTATTTCTTTGTTCTGGAGACTGGAATTGGAGTCACCTTCATCCTATTAATTGCTTTGCAAAATTGACAGTAGCCTACCTTTCACAATTGGCAATTAAACTAGATAGACCAAAAACCTCAAAACTATCTCGGTCTACCATTCTGAAATAGAAAATTACACCCGATTCCCTTTAATGTTAGGAATCATTGCTGATTTCAACATTAAACCTTTTTGACATTGGAATTGGAAAGGGGCGGGGCTTGATCAACTTTGAAAAACTTTGCTAAAAGTTCAATAAAGCCCTCAAACAAGTTTTTTTTACGGAATTGCTCGCTGTAATATGAATATGTCAAGATAAACTTATAGGAAATTATCTAAAATAGCCAATATTTAGGCAAAAATCACAAAAAAACTCAATTAAAAGTTTTACCGAAACAGAACCGGATGTTGATTTCCGGTTTCAAAGGGCAGATAACTCAAATTGGGAATCAGACCACAACTTATTCATAATTTTATATGATGTTTGAAGACAACATGACGAAAACGTCCATTATAATATATACAAAGCATCGGTTAATCCTAAATACAATTTCCAATTTAATAATGTGCTGAACATACCATGAAGAACGGGTTAATGGGACGCTAAGCCATCGTTGATGGACTCAGCAGAAGTCCCAAATAAAAAGTTATCCACTCCCGTCCTGTGAAGGGCGCACTGACGGTTACTCGCTCAAAAGCCTAATGATGAATTAGATTTATGATTCTTTTGGTTATCGGTTACTTTTTACATTCAAAGTGATCACTGTTTAGAAAGTTAATCCCCACACCAATATCAATTTTAATCAGTTACTGTGATGAATATTAACAATCTACAACGATTTCCGATAAAATATACTCATCATTAATGAACTTTACATCAACAGCTGAATACTTTTGGTAGGTTTGGTTGAATATGAATCAAGTCGTGTCGGTTATCGGAGATTAATAAGTGTTCAAAGGATCAACTTACAAATGGAATGATTAAATCAATCAAGTACGACTACAAATGTAAACAAAATTCAAAATGGTGGCAAATAAAAATTATACAATATTATAAAGTCAGTGAATGATTTAGACGTCAATGGAATATTCTGCTGGTCAGAACAATATTCAATGTCTGGATTAGGAATTTTCTTGACATGGTCAATATTCGAAGTAAGTATATCTTTAAGATTTCATTTTATAATCGATCATTTTATTTAAAGATCCGAATGTCTCCCGCCATCGGTATATCATATATGATAAACCAGCGTTTCTATCAGACAGAGCAAGAAACGTTTATTTAACAAGGATAACAATTTAGGTTCCCGAGGATCCTGTCTACCAGCATTTAGCATCTTGGGTACAAATTATCGAATCTATCCGATACACATTAGAACTTAAGAAAACCTCTATACAATCCCTTTAATAATCTTATCTTCATTCCAGGATTACTGATCAAGTATCGAAATTTAGTTATAGTGTTTTTATGGTTTACAGTTATGATGCAAGTTACTCTGTGGTCTGATCAACAAGATATCACCCCACAAAACAAACATGAAAACAAAAAAATGAAGCGAAAAACTGGTGACAGTGTTTTCCCATCGGTAAAATAGAGTTATTTACTCATTTTGATATTTTAACAAACGTTTACGTTAAAGCAGCCACTAGGGCCATATTTTTCATGACTTCTATATTGCCAAGTCCCAAGGTTTAATAAGCCGCATAATCTGCTCGACTTTCACGTTAGACCATTTGTAACAGTAGGCCTATATTCTCACTTGGTGGGGCCCAGCCCCCACGGACCCCACCCTAACGACGGGGCTGCCTATATATAAGTATTTCTTTATCTCTTTCAGTGGGATATCTTTAATATTTGGAAAACTTCAGCGCCTTCGTATACAGTGGGCATGGAATCACCACGAGTTTTATATCACGTGGGTAACGAGACTCTTGCCATGACTGTCGTGACCGCCTACTTTGATTTGGGTCGTTTCAAAAAAGGTAACGAACTCCATTTTTCAACAGACACATACTTCGATTGGGCGTCGACGTTTTCGAACCTAATGCACCCATTAGTAGTCTATTCAGATTGTAAACGTTTCATTTCGCGGATGCGAAAATATCGAAATAACTTGCAAAATATCACCAAAATTTTATTCACCGACAGAAATAAATTCTGGAGTTATCAAATCGTAGATAAAATTAGCGAAATATATAAAAACCCTAGTTACCCGAAGCACCATCCAAATACTGTGGTACCCGGATACTCGTCCGCACAACATTCGAAATTCGCCGTAGTCGGAGACGCAATACGTGAAGACTACTTTCACACCGAGCATTACGCTTGGTTAGACGTTGGATATTTCCGCGACGTAGTGGATCGCAAGAAGAGATTTGTGTTACGAATTCCGGAAAAATTTGATCCGAAAAAAGTGTCAATGAACGAAGTGTTCCCCAAACCAACACCAGAGCCGACCATGGACAAAATCTTTAAGAAAAATATGGTTTGGATCGGCGGAGGGTATTTTTTCGGTCGACGGGACGTGCTGTTGAAGTTTGAGAAACAGTACCGTAATGCTGTGATGTATTTCATAGGACGTGGTCTAATGAACACCGACCAGCAAGTGTTATACTCTATGTTCACCAGCCGCGGACGGCGGAAACTTCAACCGAAAGTAGAGCTTCAGCTGTATACTCCGAGAGGAAACGGGAGCATCTGGTTTTATTTAGGATATTTGTGTTATACTGAGATAGGTTGATCCATTGAAAATTAAGAGTTCTGTTCATTCGTGTTAAGTTAATGTCCACTCCCACGTGAAGCTGATATCACAGACTAAGTTCTAATCCATACCGACACTATATGAATTGGGAATAATCCAAAGACAACCCTTTACAGGCTGAAGTAGCAGTCTACAATGGATTTCTTAATAATTTTGTAACGTAGCTTATCGATTCTTACTTGTAAATAACGATTCCAAACGTAGCCATATTCGCTTATCGAATCTGTGCATAGCTTGCCAACAAAGCCGTTAGGTGACAGCAGGTGTTCAAGGGAATTAGCATGTCTCCATGCTCACTATAATAGACTACAAATTAGGACAGTATGTGTTCATGCATTAGTTTCTTAAGTAATATTGGATCTAACTCATATTGAGTGGCCCTGGGATTACTCGACAGGCCAAGAGCACCCCCACCCCCCAACAAGTTTCAAGGTTTACCGTGGATGAATATTCACGAAATATAGAAAAACTAAATATATTTTATTGTATATAATATTGTAATATGTAATGAGAGAAATATCCTTAATATGGCGAGGAAGTGAGAAGGTTTATAAATCTCCTATGTAAAACACTGGCCGAGTAACGAAGAGGTCAACCAATCATATGTCTTGATTCCATTCAGATGAAAAATCTTAAAGTTAGAACGTTACTTCCAACACTGTCCTAATTATGTGTTTATATAAATAACGAAATGTGGAGAGAATATACACAAAAAAATCTCATAGTTTTGTCTTTTTAAAAAAGTTTTTGGCCAATGTTTATCCATATACTTCAAAGTTCAAGGCCCTTTTAACTTCACTTTCACATTAGAAACCAATCAACCAAGTTCTGTCACTGATTAGTCCAAATCCAAACACATTTGAGTCCTTTCAAACCCAATGTTCAGTTCCATATTTTAGCAAGGGTAGCTCCAAAGATTCACGCTCAGTCGTACAATGTTAAGTCCAATCAAACGCTTGTAAGTCCAATCAAACGCTTGTAAGTCCAATCAAACGCTTGAAAGTCCACGCACTTCTAAATCCACCCACTTACTGAGCCTTAAGCCAAATGTTCAGCCTTACCCCCATGATTTACATTTTAGTCTGATGTGGGGAGATCTTACCGAATATACTGCGATCCGTGGTGGATTTCCTCTGTGGTAAGGGAGGGGGTGGGGGCGAGCCACTCCTTGAAGGGGGTAGTCTAGGAGCTTCACTGCGTACCGACGGGACAGCAAGAGGTGGCGGAGATAAGTCACCCCTTGAAGGAAGTGACCTCGGAGCCTCACTGCGTAGCGGTGGGGGAAGGGGTCCCAGTATTTCACCCTGATCCGGGGGCGGGGGTGGTGGCGAAGGTGGTTTCGTGTGAGCTGAAAAAGTAATAATAAAAATTAAACTGAGCTATAAATCACAAATCATGATATCAAATTTAATGGAGTTTTACTTCCTTCTATTTATAGATATACCAATGAAGGCCGATATTGGGTCGCGAGGTAGGAATATGGTGTATCACTATCAGAGCGTCCCAGTGTCTCTTTGCGGATTTAATAGGACACTAGTGATGGTTAGGGGTAAGGAAAATTTTCTAACATAGGCATCGGCAAACTACCTAAATACGCTATTGATCCAGGGGCTCATAAAGAAGAAAAAGAAAATATACCTTGCTTGACTAATGACGAAGGATACGATTTTTTGTCCATTTTGGCCACCTCAGGGGGCGGAAAATCAGATATTTTGTGGAATTTAAACCTCTCTTCAAAAGCTGTAAATAAATTGGAGAAAAAACTTAATGGGAATATTTCCAATGTCTTTTACGTCAAATTATATTTGTAGACAAAGATTCCACTAAGATTATTTGGTATTATTGATACTGGATATATATCCATTGGTTTTAATTGTAATAAACTTACGGTCATTTGGCGGAGTCCAAGACGATCTGTCACGAACTGGAAGAGCTGGTGCATTCGGATTACTGGCTTTAGGTCGTAAAGCATTCGGGTTCCTAGTCGGGGGAGGAGCGGGTCTACCCACCGTAACGGGTTTATTCAAGGGCGGTAAATCACTTAATTTTCTGGAGGGGAGGGGCGGAGGGTTCCCTTCGTTGACTTGAGATGTGCTCTTTCTTCGTGGCTGGTCCCTAAGAGATGAACTGTTGTTGGACAGGGGTCCCAACGTCTGCGCTTTGTTTCCCTGAAACGACAATCAATAATTTAGCATGAGGAATTAGTTTCGTCTCTACGGGGGTAGGGGTATTTTTGGGTGACTGGAATTGTTTGCTTGTGCGGATTTTTATTTCAATTATTAGGACAAGATAATGACCAATACGTACCCTATTCATTCTTGATTTTTCTTCAAGTTGTTAACATTTTGTAAAAGTATTGACTTCACATGGCTAATCCAACTTTAAACTCTAAATATAACTCTAAACTATAACTATAAATTCCTCAAAAATTCACTAAACTGAAATAAAAGAAGAGAGTTATTTACAATACTACGTACCACAGTTAAAATTGACATACAAAATATAGTTATCTCCCTTGCATCGTATTCCTATTCTATGTTGTCAACGTCAATACTTTCGTCTTATGTTGGTTTAGAACACTGGCTTTTTGTGGTCGCTTGCGAGTTGGATTGTCGTCTATAGATAGATGCCGTGGGTTCGAATCCCCCTCAAACTATTGATGCCACGACCAGTGCTTCTGGTCCGATGTGTTCCAATAATGAATAAATGAATTCATAAATATCAACTATTTATTTGCCAAAAGGAAAGGAACCAAATATGAGGAAGAGTCGTTTATTTTATTTCAATAGAAATATTTTAGGTTTTACATTTCAAATAATTGTGACTGTCTATATCACCCGAGTTTGGCTTATATAAAGATAATTATTCTAATCTTAAAAGAGGTGAAGAGAAGAGGAGGGAGGTGAAGGGAAGGGAGAGGGGAAGGGAGAGGGGAAGGGAGAGGGGAAGGGGGGGGGGGGGCTTTGTACCCCAAGAAAAATGGTTTATATCCCCACTTTTTTTAACAAATTTAACGAGATGATTTTTAAATTAAACCCTAAAATCAAGCCAGAACACACCAAATCAATTCTATTTTTCAACCATCTCTCGAAATATCCTGTTTAAATGGAAAGCGTATAATAAGTCGAAGATAATAACCCTCACCCACATCCTGTTGTTGGTGTATATAGATATCAAAATATTTTATTATTGTAGGTCTATATATATATCAATATAGCTCATTGACACAATGCCAGATTTCCGTGGTCAGAATATGATCCTTGTTGAGTCAATTTAGAAGTAAACCATACACTCCGATATTGACACAAGAGAGTGACTTTTGTCAAAAGATTGATGTAATCTATTTTAAGTGTTTCCTAAATTTCTAAGCCATTTGGCGATATCTATATAATTAGCACTGAGTTAAGGGAATTTCCACCGTTATCAGAGAATCATGTGTAATTTCAGTTTTGTGGGGTCGGGTGTTAGGGGTAGGTTTCTATGGCTATTAGGGAGGGGCATTCCCAATGTTAGTAATGTCGGCAATGGATTGAAAGAGAATGCAAAATTTTCAAAATGATCGAAATGTCGTATTGTATTTGAAACAGGACAGGTAAAGTGACATTTTCATAACGGTAAATTTCACTTTCTCCCCAACGGTAAACACTTTCATCGTCTTGAATATATAGAAAGGTTCACAAATATGTAAAGGCTTAGATTGAACAAAAAGGGCAGAAAGTCCGTACCTCTAGTCAAAATTGATGAATCCTAGGGTCTGCCCCTTTGCCCGTGGCACCTTAAAAGTTCGAATTTCGACAAAAATTAAGAGAATTTGATAAAAACTTACCAAAAAATCTTCCGCACCTCGCCTTGCTGTCTATCATCCAAAATTCGTGTATACGTCATAAAAGGGCAATGAGGAAGTTTATTACATACTTAAAATGTATTGAAAATTAATCGAGATGAGCTATAGACTAGATTATCAAGTCCTTTTACATTCTTTTTTTTAAATTGCTATACTAGATTTTGATAATACATCAAGATTCAAGTCTATTATGTTGTATTTTGTGCATTAGATAAATAATATTTACTTAGAAATGAGTCATTCATAAAATACAGTGTAGGTCTATATGGGGTAAAATATAAAACATGTTTGCCCTAGGCCCTACTATTCCATTGTATTATATAATATGTCCCCGTAGCTGGTTTAAAGGATATTTATTACTGCTAGTTAATTACTGTGACAAATGTCAATTAGGGTGGAGGAGGGGGGTGGGCTGGCCGTGCCCCTCCTTTCGAATCACCTCTTGACACGACGGGCTTGGAGGGGTGGGGTGTCGTTCTCCTTCTTACGAATCACCTCCTGACACGCGGGGCATCTTAAGCGAGACAGAGTTTGCCAATCCTGAGAGCAAAGTCGTGAAATTTGCCCTTGACTGAATGTTAAAGCATTTGGCTAAAGACAACAGTTACAGGATTCTTAATAAACAAGAGTTACTCCCCTTAGACCGTTCCAAGCAATACAAAAATGATATGGAAGGCCAAAAAGCACGAGTGTCAAAGCAGAGATATGTCGGCTTTGGAGAAACGAGTTAACTGTCAGGGTCCTGTCAAAATCTACCCAATGGCACACTGTATAGCATCACTCCTCTGAAACCCCATTTTCAGCTGAAAGATAGCGCCTAAAACTTCACTCTTGTCTCGACATTTTTCATCTTAAGCCTTAATTTGGCTTCCATAATATTCTATCATTGGTGTGTCTAAGAAATCAAGACTATAGTTTGTTTACGACGCCATTTTGACCTTAGCATTGTGGGATCAAAGTCAGGTGCAGAAACTAGAAAAGTGTGTCAAAGAGTTGATAAAATCTCAACTTCTCCAATAAATTAATCAGTCGATGAATGTGATGTCCTGATAGCGAGTTGGTCGGAGAAGAGCATAAGCTAGCAGACGACACAATGATGGTGAAAACGGGAGAATTTTACGCCGGTTCTCGGCTACTGACACCACTTTCTGAAACCATAGGTCTGCCCATTGATCAGGTAATGTTTTTTTGCACTTTCGTTTTTTCGGCAATGTTCCTAAATTAGCCTAGTGCAATTAATGGTCTACTTATTTTTAAGACGGTTGTATGAATCTTTACTCTATGTGGTGATAAGGTTATAGTACTAATTGCTCTTAGTTTAAGCCTATTTCTAATTCTTTTCCATTTTTTGTATTCAATAAACTTTTTTGAGTGGCACTAGCAGTGCCCAGGTCAATCAGGTAACTCCAGAAACTGACAGCCAATCAGAGGCCTTGACAGGAACACTATAACATTATTGTTGTGATTTACAGACCGTTGTCAAGAGCTCTGATTGACTGTATTTGCTAACATATAATCCAATCAAATTGCTGCATTTAGTGACACAAGAAAAGTGTCTAAAGATGTCAATGTATTAGATGCATTTCGCAATAGCCTTGGCTGTATTTGCTTAGAAAGAATCAAATCAAATTGCTGCATTTCATAATACATAGAAAGTGTCAAATGATGTCAAGGTAATAGATGTAATTTGTAATAGCTTGACATTGTGAAGATTCTAATCTAGTAGCACACCATCCAATCAAATTGCTGCATTTCGTGACACCAGAAAAGTGGCTAATGATGTCAAGGTATTAGATGTAGTTTGTAATAGCTTGACATTGTGAAGATGGTAATAGATACTAGGTAGACTATTATACTGAACAAGTGATTTTTTTGTATAAATACAGAGAATGATGTTATGGGGCTACGTTTTAATATGAATCAATAGGCAATCATCAGGCATAGAGTTATCAATGGCCTTATTATTGATATTGTACCGTACATAACTTAATGAGGTTCTACAGGTCAAGAGGGAATATATATATATGTCATAATATACTGAAATTAGCTATATTGTCCCAATTTTAAAGGTGCTGAAAATTAAAGAGCCCTCGTCATCCATTTGACCAATAGTGCCTTAGTCTCAGAAACAGGAATTTGTTAAGCTAAGCTAGTCAGTCATAATGCTGTATGCAGCAGTCGTGCTTTGAGTATAAATTTGAACCTTGGCTTAAGTCGGGATTTATAAAGTAAAGATTAAGTCATTATAACACTGCAATAACTAAAATGACCCAGATGCATACCAGCGTAGTTATGAATAGTTGTATCGCGGATGTTGAACTTTAACAGTGTTGTTGGTTAGTGGCATAAATCATGATCTTCCAGTACACCTGTCTATTAAAATCAATACCTATGGAGTATGCGAAATAAATTTGCTATCTTCTAATTATTCCAATGGTTTAGTAGTATATTTAACTGTGAGTAACTGCTTGTTGGTGAAGGTCTATTTAACACCATATTGATCAAAATAATTCATGTATAAAACCAGTAAAGTTTTTCTACAGTCACCTACTGAGGTAACAAGTTAACGTTCGCTTCGTAAACTAGGTGACTTTACGACAGCTTTCATTTTATACAAAAAGTTAAGCATGACTTTTGTAAAGTTCTTAAGTTTAAGTAATGGTTTAGTAGTTAAGTCAAAGGTTACTCTAGGTTTAGTGAAGGTTAAATACGAGGACCCAGGCTTACTCTTCTCGAAACACCTGATGGTATTTCTCTTTGGAGGAGTCTACTACTTCACAACTTTTACTTGATTTTGCCATACTTTGGATGAGATTTTTTACAAATATTTATGTAATTAATAGTAACTTGACAAACATCTAGTTGTCAACTGTTCAAGTCTAAAATCAATAAATGTCAATCAAATGCTACAATGTGTTATTAATTGCCATATTCAATTATCTTGGGACATGTATTGTGGTTTTTAACATATTCATAACCAGCTGTATAATTAATTTACCAATCAAACAATATTAGCAATGTGGACTCTGTAATAGAGATGCTGATTTGACAAATAGAATTACTGACTCTTACCTAGCCTCTGAAAGATATTATACTAGTCTGAAATACCTTTTGTGAATGAAAAGAATTCTAACCTACATCATTTATATTTCAGGTGAATTTTCTGGTGTGTCAACTAGTGGCCTTGATCCTAGCCTTCCCATTTCGAATAGTTCTTTCACCTTCGACGACCAGTCTCACAGTTCGCCATGTAGTCCAGATTACTCTAGGCGTGAGCCTTACTTTGTTTTGTTTTGGATAGTAAGTAGAATTTATTTTAGACTAGTTAAAAGAAGCCTATGGATGTATCTCCCTGAGCTGCTCTGCTCATAGATTTCTGAAATGGTCGTGAATGTTTTTCTTTATCCTAGTTGAAATAGATGCAAATCAAAAAATAGAAGGCTAATGCTACTGTCCTGGTAAAATTTCCCTTGTTGCAAACTACATAGCGTGCTAAAGAAGGATGTAAAACTCCATTCATTTCATTTTTTAAACTCAACCTATTTTGTTTCGTTTCAGTCAAATCTGGCATTTGTTTATGTTATCGTTTGTATCTTATATATTGATGAAATATGGCAGTAAGGACTGGATGCACAATGCTATATTTATCTATAATATGGTTTATTTATCTGTTACCCATATATGGAGACAAATATACGATTATGGTGGATATACCTTAGATATTACTGGGTAAGCTATTCCCTTCTCCTCCCTCTTCTCCTCCCTCTTTTCTCCTTCCCTGAGGTATACGATTATGGTGGATATACCTTAGGTATTACTTAGTAAGCTATTTCCTTCTCCTCCCTCTTCCACCTTCCCTCTTCCACCTTCCCTCAGGTATAGGATTATGGTGGATATACCTTACGTATTACTTAGTAGGCTATTCCCTTCTCCTCCCTCTTCCACCTTCCCTCAGGTATATGATTATGGTGGATAGATATACCTTAGATATTACTTTGTAGGCTATTTCCTTCTCCTCCCTCTTCCACCTTCCCTCAAGTATACGATTATGGTGGATATACCTTAGGTATTACTTGGTAGGCTATTCCCTTCTCCTCCCTCTTCTTTTCCCCTTTTCCTGATAGTCAATCATTTCCCCTGTTTTGAGTTATTTTTTGAGTTATGCTGTCAGTGTCACCAATAAGCATAAAAATTATAGAAAACCTCTTTATAATCCCTTTAATTTAAGGCAATTGATACAAGATCCAACATGTCTGGTTGGAAATTATTAAAATCACAAGCCCTGATGTAAACTATTTCAGTCCTCTGATGATTATGACACAGAAAATGTCGAGTATGGCCTTCAGTTTACACGACGGTTTATATAAAGACAACAATAAACTAACACAAGATCAAAAATCACAAGCAATCAGGTAAGAGAAAGGCTTTTTAAAGGTATTACAGATATTGTTGTCTAAATATTCACTTAACCAAACCATTTGAGTGCTATAGTTCTGCTTTACTGTCTAATAGTGGTAAATACTAGCCATCTCTATTACTTTTCAGAATGGAGATAGGCCTTTGGTTCATATTATTTATTTATTTATTTATTCATTCATTCATTCATTCATTCATTCATTCCTTTATTTATTCAATCCGTCATTCATTCATTCTATTACAGGAAAATGCCTAGTCTGCTGTCGTTCTATAGTTATGTATTTTATTTCCATGGTATTATGTGTGGTCCATTATGTTTTTTTGCTGATTTTATATCGTTTATGGAAGGGAGAAACTTCATGGAGGCTAAAATACCCTATATTGAAAACGTAAGTATCAGTAAATATAGAAATAGTTGATTTTCAAATGATCAGCGTGCAGCTAGGGTGGCTCAGCAAGTTTTACCCGCCCTTTTAAATCTGGGGTCAAGGGATCAATTTAGATTGAACAATTTGATTAGCAGTGTATTACAGTTTTGGCTAATCAAGTTAGAATTTGATTTACATGGTTGTGATACAATTTACCTTTGGCTAATCATAGGAAATATTGCATTGAAAAAGGGCTCGTAAATTGCAATGCAATCCTGCCTTTAGAATTGAACCCTACTAGGATCAATATTATGCCCTTAGGGAGCTTTTCAGTAACTCTTTTTAAAAATGAAATAAGGTTTTCTACAATTAAATATGAATTATTTCACTGTATTCTTCAGAGCAATGGAGCCTCTGTAACATCTAGTAAGTACAACGAAGGGAATAAAAAACCTGTAGTTAATACTCCTATCAAATCATACGGAGCAGGGGTGAGTAATGTACCTCATAATACTTTACCAGTCATGTGTGATTAGAGCTCTTAAATATCTAAATTAGTGTTCAGATCATTGCGATTACAAGTCATGTATTGCTTTGAATAAGAATAACAGTCATAAGTTTTGAACGTAACTTTCATGACTTGTGTGTTATGTTCGGAGCACATGACCACTTTCATTATTCACAACCATACACAACTGGTAATCACTATGGTGTGGGCATCTTTAATGTTTTTGGGGTCTTAAGGTTAGGGGGTGAAGCAGACCATGCTTACTCTTTTTGCAACACCTGATGGTACCTCTCTTTGGAGGAGTCCACTAATAAACAGCTTGTACTCTTGTCTTGTCTTGTCTTACTCTTTATTTGTCTTGTCTTACTCTTGATTTGTCTTGTCTTACTCTTGATTTGTCTTGTCTTACTCTTGATTTGTCTTGCCTCTATAGATTGTTATCAATAATATTCCTGATATTTTTTCAGAAACAAACATTAAAAAGACTTCTCACTGCCTTAGTCTGTGGTGCTATTATGATGTTTGTAGCTCCAAATCTCTGTCCACCAGAGGGACTCGTATGTAAGTATGATTTTACCTTTTTAAAGGGACATGTTCACCATCTTTTTGACCAATCATACCTTAAAGATGGGAATTGTTTAACTGGACTAATCAGTTATAGTGTTCACAGTTCATTGTTGAAATTTGCACCTTTTGAAATTTGATTTGGGATAGGTACATGTCAGTCTTCTTTGATCTATCGACTATGCTACACATCCATTTTTTTGACCGCAAAGAAGAGTATTTTTCATTGCTTTTGTATTTGGGTTTTCTTATTTTAATTGATAGTTGTTTTTAATTTCAGCACAGTCGTTTTTTGAGATGAGTTTTATTCAGAAGACTGTGTATTTATTAATATGTTTAATGTTAGCCAAACAAAAATACTACTTCGCTTGGAAACTAGGTAAGTTATAGAGTCAGAGATGTGGTGTGCTCACTCTTCTATAGCACATTGTCATTCAAAGACAATACCAGATAGAATTTAAACTGGCTACTTAAACACATATCTGTTACTAGACATATGTGTTCTCACTGCACTAGATGGTGGTTGTTCTTTCTAATGTTCAGGTTTCAACAAATCCAATTTGTTTTAGGTGAAGCAGTAAACAATGCAGCAGGGTTAGGGTTTCAGGGATTTGATGAGAAGGGTCAGCCCAAGTGGGATCTTGTCAACAATGTAGATATATGGAATGTAGAGGTGAGCGTTTTGATTAAACTTTTGAAATAAAAAAGACGCATACCTCTTCATGCCTAAAAATTAAAAATTAAAATTAAAATTAAAATTAAAATTAAAATTTTATTTATTTATTTATTTATTTATTTATTTATTTATTCATTCATTCATTCATTCATTCATTCATTCATTCATTCATTCATTCATTCATTCATTCATTCATTCATTCATTCATTCCAGTTTTGTAATAGTTTGAAGTTAAATCTAGATGCATGGAATAAAACTACCTTGGTGTGGTTGAGAAGAGTAGTATATGATAGAGTACCCAAGTTAAAAGTGGTAGCGGTATTTGTCTGTAGTGCCACGTGGCATGGCTTCTACCCTGGGTATTATTTAACTTTTGCCACGGGGCTGTTACTGACTGTAGCAGCTAAATTGGTGAGTATTGGAACCACTATCTTCACCGTGTCAAGCTATAATGAACTGTGTCTTATACCTTGACTGTAATAGCCACTGTTCTTGTGTCATGAAAGGTTGTAAATGCAGAAATTTGATTGGATTGAATGTTAACTAAGTTAAATACAGCCAATCAGAGCTCTCGACTGAAAGTCTGTAAACCACAAGTCTTAATGATGAAACGAAATGTTTTGAAAATCTGTCCAAAATTTATGTTTTATTTGCCGATTTCAGGTACGACGTAAAATTCGTCCATTTTTTCTCACGTCACCTGTTCTCAAATTTATTTACGATTGCTCAACGTTTATTTTTACAAGATTAGCTTTAATGTGGCTGGCCACTCCTTTCATATTACTTGAATTAAAGCCCGGCTTAACTGTATATAGGTGAGTCCAATCACCATAATGTCAAGGTCAGCTTCATAAGGTCAAGGTTAAACTGCTCTTTTCGAGCAATCAACTGCTGTGTAGTGGGTACAAAATGTTGTGACTGGTGTACAGTGGTGAATTTTGAGGGGTGGGTAATTAGGCCATTTGGACAGATTTAGCTGGTTTTAGTTTGGAAGTTCATTCTCAGTTTTAGGACACCTGAGGCCACTGTAACTGAGCTTGTCATATCCATATTTTGAAAATGCCAACAGCAAGTGTTTTGATATTGTCACTCTCTAAGTGGGAACGTTCAAATTGTGGCAAATTTTACTGATGAAATTAGGTATGATCACTCTTCAAAAACACCTGCTACCTCTCTCTGGGTATTGACTGGATCTTTCAACTCTTTAAGAGAGTTTACGAAATTAAATGCAGTTTGAAATTGATCTTATAAAGCTGACTGTATCATAGTTCATCGCCTTTCAAAAACTTTACCATAAATGTGTCCTTTATCTTTCCGTTTCTTTTAGGTCCGACGCAAAATACGACCTTTATTTCAAAGAACCGCAACTCTAGCCTATCTGTACGATTGCCTCACTTTTATTTTTGTTCGACTGGCCAATCCCTGGATGTGCACTCCATTTCTCATGTTACAACTGATGCCAGCGATTCGTGTTTACAAGTAAGATACAGAGTTACTGCCCTTGACTAACATTAATTTCGTTCTTGTGATGGTGTTTGTTTAACATTTAAATGGCATGGTGAAGAAACAGTCTTGAAAATCTTTTTTGAAATTAAGAATATGTGTTATTTCCATCCTTAAAAAGGGAATAAAAACTTAAAAATGACACAAAAAGAAAGATAAGGGACTGAAAATGATGTCTAAATGACCTTTCATTTTTTGTTTTTATACCTTAGTCATTAAATCCAAGGCAAACATTTTGAATATTCTTTCAGCATAAATCTTGTGCTTGTTTTAGGATATGCTTATTTTTGTCAATGTTAGTCCGTCTGTTTAAGCTTGTAATTACTAAAAAGATTTTCATTGCTGTTTGCTTAATGTAGAAGCTGCATCTTTGCTTGCTATTTTGTACTTATATGCTTACATTTCCTTCTGCACTGCATAGGTGGGATACCCACAGCAACAAAGGTGGGTTGTTTGGCAGCAAAGGTGGGATACTGTCCTAGAGTATATGGGATGTTGGTTATGGCAGTGGGAAATACTCCTGTAATATGTGGGATGATGGTAATGACATGAGCTGGAAATAATCCCAGCATAGATGGTAATGGGATAAGTGAGAAATAGTCCCATTATATGTGGGATGTGGGTGATTGCATGGGCAGGAAACTGTCCCAGAAAAGTGGGCGAAATACAGCAGAGATGGGATATGTCTTGTTTGTAAGGGAACGAATGGGAAACTGTCAATGTTGACAATGGCATGGTGGAGAATGGTAATGGGATGAGTGGGAAATAGTCCCATAATATGTGGGATGATGGTAAAGGCATAAGTGGGATGCTGTCCCAGCATAGATGGGATACTCATAGCAGCATAGGTGGGATATTTTGTTAAAAAGCAATTGAATATTTGAGGTCATCGGGTCAAAATAGCAGTCGATTTCATAGCATTATTTAGCATGGCAGAATTTAAATAACATTGCAAGAACCTGGTTATTTAGCAATTACATAATTTCTCTTCGCTTGACAAATAGCGTTACCAGAGCGCATAGCACTATAGCTGCTCATTTAGCAATTAGCATTACAGTAATTTTTCTTTACAAAAACCGCGCATTGTACGAGGCTTGGGTATAGCATAGCATCCAGGAATATATAAATAAGAAATAGCTGTATGGTGTATTTTTGACATTGGATTAGGGATTATTTGACTGTTAATTCATCGATTTCTTTTTTTCGTAACTTTCCAACATTTACACTCTGATAATGGGACCTTACTCTGACCCAGAAAATCTTTTTTTTTTTTTCCAGACCAAAGTGTCCTTCGTCTTTTTTGTCATTTTACTAGTTTCTTTTTTCAATTTTTTATTAGCTTCATTCCAATTAGTTATTAGCTTCATTCCAATTTGTTATTAGCTTCATTCCAATTTGTTATTAGCTTCATTCCAATTTGTTATTAGCTTCATTCCAATTTGTTATTAGCTTCATTCCAATTTGTTATTAGCTTCATTCCAATTTGTTATTAGCTTCATTCCAATGATTGGTATTAGCTTTAATATATATAGTAGTCCAATGTAGCTTTAACTCCAAGCTTGTATCTGTTAGTAATTTAGAAGTGTACACTGTCAGTAGATGTGTAGTTTGTCTAGTGTAGTGTTGTCTTACGTCTATCCATCTTTACCCTTCCTTGCTTTATATACCTTAGTATTCATTCATTCATTCATCTCATTGATCCTTTGAAATTTTGTTAATAAATTTCTTTTCATTATATTCATTCATTCATTCAATTTCCTTATTTATTCATCCATCTATTCATTTGTCTATTCTTTCATTCAATATCACTTGATGTAATCTATTATACATTTATTCATTCATTCATTCAATTCATTCAATTCATTCATTCATTCATTCATGACGATCATGAATAAAACCAGAACTATATGCATCTTGTGAATGTGAATATTCAAATATAAGTTATATCTATAGTGTGCATAGCCATTTTAGTGTATAAGCATATGAGCATGAAAATATATTAGTAGATAAACTTGTCACATTATGAGTGGGGAAAGAGGTAATTTTTTTTAATGAAATCAGTCTAAAAACAGGTCGTTATTTTACTTGAAAATTATTTTTATCCAAATATATTCTGATCAAGTGAATTCTATCATCATTTGAGAGATTGTGACTAATTGATCAAGACTATAATTCAGTATATCAGCATTATTTCCCTTTATATTTCAGCTCTCTATATTGGTGGTTACATATCTTGTCAATGGTGGCAATCGTAATTCTATCATTTTATCACCCGCAGAAACCCAAACCCGACTCGGACAAAAAAGCAGAAACGGACAAAAAAACGCAATAAGTCTCAACAATGTCTTATTTTTATACAAACAGTCATAGCCAATTACTGTATATTTACAAGTATAATGCACAGGTTTTTGTACTTTTACAAAGGTATATTCAGATTGTGTTTATTGCCTAAATTTAACCATGAGTTATTGCCCTTGAATAAGTGAAATATGTTGGTCTAAAGGGAACACATTTTCCATAATATTAGCATTAATATGTGTATAGATGAAAAGAGATATGCACTTTAGAGAAATATTCAAAAGTATTGAATACTTATATTAGTTATGAACACAATTCAAATTTAATTTGGTTCTACCAATAACTGCTATTAAACTGCACTTTTTGTGTGTACCAGTGGCAGCACCAGTAGGGGTAGCAGATGGGGGGAGGGAGGGAGGGAGGGAGGCATTTATAAATATGATTAATATACGATTTTCTATTTGTCAGAACGCATATGGAAGTTTGTGCCTAATGCGTTAAATCAAAGCTACAGCATATTGAATCTAGACCTTGACAGTTGTCTCCCCATTAAGTCAGTCTGCCCTGTCAGGTGCTGCCACTGGTGTGCGCTGATGTTACTAGAAACATGCGTCATTTCTAAGTGTGTGCCCCTAAACTTGTATAGAAATAATTGTTTGAGTCTTGTTTTATAATTGCTGGTGGGTGGTTTCTACAAAATAGTCATTCTTGATCTACTCAATACTCTGATTAGGGTGGGAGAACTTTACAAACCAACAAACCTGATCCCAATAAGAGTTGTTCATTCGGCAGCCATTTTAGCTTAATATATCTTGCCAAATACATAATAGTTTATATATGAGAGGAATACAAGCATAAGTCTTTGATGATTAGTTTCCTTGGCCAGTGCCTCTATGGAGGGGTGAGCTAACTTAAAACCCAACACTTGTGTAGCCAATTCTGAAGCCAAAAGTAGAACATAAGTTTCCATTTTATTCCACCAATGACCCAGGTCAATTCTTCCATATAAGCATAAGTCAGTGCTGAATGGGGATGCGGGGGATGGGGAGGGGGGTCTAATATTTGAACCCATCAACCCCCTCTACTTAACAATTTCAGCTGCTCCTGAGAGGCTCTGGTCCAGGTTTGAATAAACGTTGATTGTAAAATAAAGTCAAGAGTAGAAATGAAAACAAATTAAATCATGAAGGCCTAGATTGAAAAATCCTTTTGTATACAGTTTTGAAATTGAAAATCATAAGATGATTTGATCTCTGTTGCTACTCTGTTTACTCTGTGTGTGTGTTTGACATGCAATGCGTTTGATTTGTTTGAATTGTGTGAGGGTGTGAGGTTGTGTGAACTACTGGTTTATTTTAAAGTTAGTGAACTGTTTTAATTTTAATTCTAATATATAAATAATGATAATAATATATTTAAGATAATATAATGGTAATCAATATATAGGATTGTGGACTGTGTCTGTCTTTTGGAGGATTCACATACCAAATAAGGACATTGTTGATATTTTTGATATTTTGAAATAGCCTTGAGAATTAAAAGTCAACAACAAAATTGTTTACCTCAGTTTTCAATGGTGGGTAATGATATATATATTACTAGTGAATTGTGTTTATTATAATTTTCAAAACAGGGTATTTAAATCGGGCATTACACAACAAATTTTCAAGTTTTTCAGATATTTTTTTCAGTAGGCAGCCATTGTATTTCATATTTTTCTTGTGCAAAGTTGCAAATGATATCTTAAATTCAGATAAACTTAAATTTTCAGATATGAAGATTCAGATATATTTACAAAATTGTCTATAAAACACTTGCTTTACATTATACATGTTCTTAATGTCTTTATATTAGAAAGTCAACCTGCTTTCACAAACTAACTGTCCTGATGAGTATTTTATACCCAAAACACATGTCCAGGGCATGAGATGAGCTCATGTCAGTTATCAGTAATAATTGCCCTTTTCCTTCCTTCCTTGGTCTATTTTGATTTTCAGTCTTTCGATTGGATTGTTTACATGTGACTTAATTACCTCTTGTTTACTTCTGTTTACTTCTGTTGACATGTAAACATATCCCTTGCATTATCATTTATCCAGAGTTGTTTATCAATAAATACATTTTGTTACTTAGTTATATTTTTTTTGTTTTTTTGGTTTGTTTGTTGGTGATGGGCATGCATTTATGAATTTTCATTGATCAAGGGGTGGTGAAAGTTTTGGGAAATGTTTGGAGAAAATTGTGACCCCCCGAACACACAAACGTCAGAGGGGCTGATAATTCGACCCCCTGTTCTTTGGGGGGGAGGGGGGGGGGGGAAGCATCCCGACTGGCTGTTCCTATTGAAACAGACCTAGCTCATGTGTGCTACAGGCTGTGTACATTAAAGATCTCGGAATAATCGTAATGAACAAGAGAAGGCTAAAGACAATTCCATGCAAAATAAGAGAATGCCCTTCATAACTGGAGCAGAAATATGAGACTTTAAAATCCATTTCCGTTCATTCTAAACAGATTGTATATGACCTGACATCTGCCGTTATTAAATAAGTATCTATTATTCAGCCAAGCCCCCTGTCGACTCAAAAGATCCCCCCCCCCCCCCTCTACCTGCCCTACGTGCTCCTAACATACACACAATGCCCTACCACACTCCAAAGTTTATAACAGTTTTCTACTCTGTTGCTAGATAGCCCATTTTAATTTGATTTTACTCTTAAAATGTTTGAATTCCTAAATTTAATTCAAAAATCCGATTTGTACACCCTTGAGTTACTGAAGATTTCGGGCAATTCGGCTCTTTACACTACCTCATTTAGCAAGAACGTATTTGATTTGTTTTAATCGGGATTAAAGCCTCATCAATCCGATTTGCACCTTGTTTGTGTTTAAAAGGATCCCGGTCGAATCAACCTTATCACCTAAATCAAATTAGACCAATTTTCTAAGAACGGCCTCCTGTTTGTAAACTACTTTGATATATATTTGCAATTCTTTGACTTAAGATTTCGAAAATACTCAATGCTGTAGCCTTATTTCAGATTTAAAAAAATGAAAAAATAAATATACGAAGAAATGTAATAAAATAAATGGATTAACAAATATATAAACCGGTGAACAATGATTTAAATTTGAAATCATTGGTCGTTGACCTTTATCTATATTCGCAGACAAGTTGGCACCGCATCAAGGCAGTGATCACCGAAATCGATAAAACGATAATTGAAAAACAAAATATCGATTATTGCTCGTTAATCTTTATCTCGATTCGCAGACAAGTTGGCACCGAATCTTCCTAGTCAGGACGGACATCGGTAAATTGAAACTCTAGTGAAATCGATAATTGAAAAACAAAAGTCAATCACAGATCATTGATCTTTATCTCGATTCGCAGACAAATTGGCACCACATAATATTAAATCAAGACATTAAAAATCGATTAATCGATGATTGAAAAACAAAGAAAATCAATCATATATCGTTAATCTTTATATCGATTCGCAGACAAATTGGCACCAGATTGTAGGAAAAAGAGGACAAGTAGCAGATAACTGATTTGAAATCTGATGAAATCGATAATTGAAAAACATAAAATCGATTATTGGTCGTTAATCTATATCTCGATTCGCAGACAAGTTGGCACCGCAATTATCCTGAATCTTTATTCCTCCATTCGACGTACGTATGTGTAAGAGAGCAGCCCAATGACTGTTATCTGTGCCCAGAATGGTGTACTAAAATAATTCTTCGGCTCCCCTCCCCTCTACCACAAAGACACGACATAAACTCGTACATCTCCATTGTACAACCCGTGGAATTCGACCGCTGTAAGCGCACTTATCGGCCAAACCAAACCACGATGCAAGACCTCTGTATGCGGTGGCTACTGCAAACTTTGGATTGCAGCACAGTAAAGTCATAATGCAATTAACCTCTTGAATAAATTATATGGTAACCCATCGATGTCATTACTAACATAATAAGATTAACTATAAATATATTAGTGTTTTATCAAATATTCATACCCAAATCAGTGTCTGTTTTGTGATGCGATAACTGTCAATTTGATGGGAGAAATTTCCAATAATAACGAATAATTCCAGTAAATTCTAAATTTAAGGGTTGCCATATACAGAACTTTGCAATTGCTACAAATAATTTCTGCAAATTGCAAACTTTAAACGTGTATATAAAACGCGACAAATGCAAATATTTTTTTGTGAATTATTTCGAAGTTGTTGAAAAATTAAAACCACATTATTGGAGATAATTGTGAATAAGTTTAAGCGAACATCAAACGTATTTGAGAAACGCGACAAATGTAAATATTTTTGCGTCAATTACGGTCATTTTCACGCATTTTGTATCACATTACAAATTATTAATTGAAAAGATCCATTACTGTGTTTTCACCTGCCGGACAATAGAAAACTATGTCCATTAAGGTTGATTAAGTCATTGGTTACTGTATTGAACAAATGGGGTGGAAACATGGCACCTTGATTTACACCCTTTCAGTGAAATTTTTAATGACTTTGTTGTTTGTTTAAAGGCACAGATTGTTTTTGTAAATATTGAAAGGAACGTTTCCTAGTAATGCATCTACAACAAATCCTCACACATCTCGACTTTAATTTCATTTTGAACCAAGCGTATTTAATGTTAATTGAATGAATGTCAAAATTCGTTCCTACTATGCTGTTGGAATTGGATATAAAATAAAGTGTGGCTGATACTGGCCTAGAAAAATTCCTTTTCCATATTTTCATATAGCCATATATGTGCTGAAGAGAGAGGGGGCGGGGGGCAAAAAATAAGGCATACAAGTCTGTTTCAGTTTGTTTCAATAAGATGAAGATACGTCCCTTAAGGTTCAGACGTGTAGGTCGTAAAAATCCATTTTGTTTACTAGTTTGTTTACTTGCTATTGACTTATTACCAAAACAATATGCTGTAAGTCTTGTAGTGAGTTAATAAGATATATTGTTATTATGACTATAGTGTTAACCCCATTATAGATTACTGTTTACTCCCCGGGGGTTAATTTCATTTAAAGGGAGTAATCCCCTCAACTAGTGGTGATCATGTTTTAAAAGCTTTCGTCAAACAATGTTCAAAATTACTTGACGATAAGCTTCATAATTTCTGCTTTTTTTTAAGGAATTTATTTGATAAACAATTCAGAATTACATGGAAACATATTTCATTATTTTTTAACGAAAAGTTATTGAGTTATTAACAAAGGCTTCATTTGCATATTTATTATTTTTGAATGTAATTGAATTAAGTGTTTCTTAAGAATTGCTGGACACATTTATGCTTATGTTGAAGTTTTTTCTCCTTTCATGTAGCTAATTGATCTTGAAGGGATTTCAAAGAGGTTTTCTAGACTTTTGATGTGTATCGGGGACACTGATAGCATTGATTTGCATCATTCCAGTCAGTAAGACGTCTGTGGTTCCTGAAATTCCACTATAACGAACTTGTTTGATCCAGTACAATACTTCACCCCCCCCCCCCCTACAAAAAAAACAAGTTTTAATACAATACACATAAAATGTGACTTAACCCTTTATCTCTCGTATTATAATAGTTAACCCCTTTAACGTTCAATAGTGTAAAATGCATTTAATGGGTTACGTAAGAAAAACAACCAAATGGCACGTGCTAGAAGATGAGATTTAGAAATAACAATCTGTTCACCCGATTACTTACAATTAACTTCTATTGATACCTGGTGAGAGTCACGTGATCGAGGTATATTAAGCATAATGCCCTCTAATCATCCAATCAAAACTCCCTAAGGAGAAATCGTTTTGGCAAAGATTTGCCGACTACTTTCCAAGTTCCAACACGAGATCACGTGTAGATTTAGGATAAATCGTTAATCCCTACATATGAATATCATAATTATAAACTTCTGACCAATCAGAGCTTCGGATGACGACATCCAGTACAGGTATTGACCAATCAGAAATCAGGATTATGGATTTGTCAGGGAGAGGTGACCAATCACAGAACAGTTTGGGAACTTCTAAGGAAAATGTTGGATATCCACTGAAATATGCGGACTTGCTTGCTTATCATTGGATAAACCGCTAAATCGTATTGTTCTGAAGGGCAATAAAGTGTTTTCACCGTGCTCTTCGGATCAGAAACCGTACTCCATTCCTATCTTTCAACATTCCTTTTAACTACCGAACATCTCAAGACATGGATCTAGTGTTATATTCACCTGGTAAGTTCAACTTCACCACTTGAATTTTTTCTGTAGCTTAATCCTGTGTGGAATCAGCTGCTACGTCGCTTAAATGTGTCATGATGGAACGTTGTGCCTGTTTTCTATAATTAACTGTTTGCTGTTGCCTGTTCCTTTCCTAGTACCTGGTGTGATGCCTATTTTCTGTAAATGTTCTATGCCACGAAAGCAAGCATGATCACAGAAGATTTCCGGCATGTAAACATCCATCCAGGATTGTCAAAATGAATTCATTTTTTCATTCATAAAATTAACAGAGTTGTTTATTCATTTTCAGAAAAGCTGTACCAGTCCATAACACCAACAGAGTCTGCATCCTCGTCTCCAGCATCTTCACCCAATGCAGCACCATGGAGCAGTACCCAATACCCAAGACATAGTACACCCAAAGGATCACCAGTCAACGAACGACCTTCACCATTCTCCTTTGGACAATCGTTGCTGTTTCCTTATAAACCGGAAATTCTCTCACCACCATCTTTGTCTACCCATTCCAGTTCAGATTCATTTTCCAAAGTTGATCTCAGCATTCCATTCGAGTCTTATTTATCAAATCTCGGGGATTCTTTGAGAAGGGCTCATAAAGGCAAGATGGTGGAGAAAAGAGGCATGGACGCCAGAAGACATGAGATCAAATCCAGCATCTACCCAAATCCATTGTCACACTTTGCTGCACCTTATCTAAGATATTGGGAATCCAAAACGACGACTCCTTACCCGGGAAAATTCGCCGAGTCTTTGAGTCACCCTGCATTCCGGCAGACGGAGAGTCAGACCACCAGAGCTACACCCACGGAGAAGCAGCAATCTCCCAAGAAGTATAAATGTAACGTTTGTGACAAGACGTTCTCGAGAAGCAACACCCTTGTGACGCATAAGGTAATTACTGTTTATTTTTGCCCTTTATTTGGAATCCACGAGATCTCATGCCTTCCAAAAGTACTAAGAAAACCTCCGAGCCCCAGAGTCTTCGCCTGTACACCCGTAAGAATGCTTTTTTGACTTTTTTTACACTGTAGTTTTGAACGATGTTTTGCTAGCTGTAGCTTTCTTCAAAACAAAATTCTTAATATCTTCAATTTGTCCTTTTCAGAGAATACATACTGGAGAGAAACCATTTAAATGTGAAGTTTGCGACCGGGCATTTCGACAACCAGGGAATTTGACTCGACACCGTTTAACTCATACTTCCATTAAACCCTATGTCTGTACAGTTTGTAACAAGGCGTTCAACAGAGCCAGCAATCTTCAGACTCATATGAGAATTCATTCTAAAGGAATGGACTATCATGGTGCCTGTCTGTCGTACCATTGAACAGGTTGGGGGAAAAGATTCAACATTCTAAGGAATGAAAATTCTGCAGCTTCCTATTCTCAGCTGAGCATCCCATAAAGATGAAGCTTCGGACTGTTGCTCTGCTTCAGGCCACAGGTTTGACATTCATTGAGTTGTAAAAAATCGGATTCATTCAGAGGAAGACACCTGATACCACTTTTCATTATGAAATACTCAGTTATGATTGATATACTTCTTCATGTGAAAAGCTTCAATGTTTCACCAATATGATGTTTTGGATTTGGATGTTCGGATCGTTACTAATTGGTTTATTATACCAGAGTTTCAAGTAACATTTAAGAATCCAGTGATACATCTCCTGGTGAAATTTGAACTTCAGGACCACGGTCTGGTTGGCTGCGATTTCAGTTTGCAATGTGAAAATCGCAGACAAGCGGATTAATGAAATCAGTGTTAGTTATTTGTTACTGTGATTACTGTTATTGTGATTGTGATGTATTGTGATAACTTATCTTTTTAAAGTGCAATATTTTTTATTTATATAATTGTTGAATTTTTTAAATAAATATTACATAAAAATAAATTAAAATCAATTATATATCTCCACAAATTTGTTGAGCATATGTGGACTTGTAAAATTCCCCCATTGCTCAATGCATTGCGCTTTCAGATACTATAAGACCAAGACGTATAACTCTGTTTGGGATAAGACTACATGCCATTTTCATACTTTGCGCTAATACTCACTGTTGACTGAGTGGTCTGTGTATATTCGGGATGCTGTTATTTGTCACACCCCTGATTCTTACTGATTGTTGATTCTATATAGTCAAAGCAAATGAAAACAACTCCGATTTTACAGCACTTTCCATTATGAAATACTAGAAATTATTTTAAGGGGAAGGCTATGCCATTTGCATTTCGCGTTGCTTTCTTGACCCGTAGCAGCATACAGGATCTAAATAGTACTTGGTACTACTTGACATGGCTGTCCATAGGTCAACGTTAACTTGTCACATAACAAAAATAATTGGCAAGCATCGTTATTTCTACATTATAAGGCCATTTATGTAATGAAGTAGTCGCTATCATCGTTTATGCTCGTATTGTATGCAATCTTTATAAGATACGTTGCATCCCAGTAACGTTCTTCATTCCATCTGATAAGCGGCTTCCTGCATTTTCATACTCTGATTTCGATGTATGTGATACTATGTACTATGTTTTCTACAAGAGGGTGTGGTGTAAGTGAGTTGAAAGTTGAGATAATTGATTATCGGCTGTCGAAAAAGGGATTGTGAAGGTTCATGTAAGCCGGAAACACTGACCGAGGCGACTAAGATATACATGTAAATATATATGTAAACTGCCTACCCGAGAGAATCATTGAATCATTGAAGTTTTTTATATAATATTTTACTTGTCATGTATGAAAAAGACTTAGGAGATGGTTTCAATAACATATAACTGAAATGACGAAAGCACAGGCCGAGGTTTTATGATTATTGATATGATGTTTAATGAACTGAAATAATTCAAGGAAGTTCTTGTAATGTTGAACTCGGTGCCAAGTTTTTGGGTTGTACTCCACGGTTGCTAATACGGTTTTACTATAAACAGATCTAAATAGCAACAAATGTTTAGGTGCCTTGCGACATGACAAACAGCAAGTCTACTCAGAGTTTAACGAAACGAAATAATCCTATAGACTTTTCCTTGAAATGGGTGCCAAGTTTTGTTGGTAGCCGACAGTTGCTGGTATGGTATTAGAATAAATACTTGTAAATAGTTACGATGATGCCAAGTATTTGGCGGTTGCTAATAGGGTCTTAGTCACGATGTATATAAATAGTAACAAATTTAAAGGGTTTGGTTATGGAAGGGTCAGAGAAATTGGGGGGAGGGGATGGGGGTTGAGAAGAGATTTTTTAGTCAACATACTTGTAGCTGGATTCCACAATCTTTAGGATGGGATGATGAGCTCTTCTAAACAGTAACGTCTTTTAAGTTGAGGTATATGAATCTGCAAACTAAGCAATCATTTCGCCCCAAATTAGTCGTGATAGCATGTCACCCAACCCTCCTTCCTCCAACACGGGTAGAAAATAGCCGATTTTCTGTCACAAAATGAAACATGAGAATTTTTAAATGACTAATTTTAATGTGTATTGGAAAAAATATGTATTAGAAATTACTAGAAATGTTAAACAGCCCAAGGCTAGAATCTGGATTCCCATATACAACACAGATTGGATTATCTAATGCATTAATCTTTTAATCCATTTATCCGATAATCCGTTAATCCGCGAACTGTGATATGAAGAAGCATATAAACCTATTTTGTTTTCTTTGTTAGAACGAAATAACCCTGTAATAGTAATAGGCTAGTAGTATTAGGGACGGTTCGTTCCATGCATTCCGAAAGGTCTTATAACGTAATACATGAGTCAAGGGCCTAAATCAGCGTGCTGACATTCTTACCACCCTTACGACATTTATCACCCCCCTCCCCCCTTCACTAACACCCCACCTCTTCATGGCCTACATGCCTGTCCGTGTCTGTGCTTTCGTAAAATTTGCTTTACCGCAATTTAACACCCTATAATTCTGACCCATAACTCATGTTCTCCGGCCTTTTAGAAAGAATGCATAGTCTCTTAAATGGACACGTTCATCATCCGTTAGAACAAACGTACCTTAGCCTCATAAACGATTTTTGTTTACTAAGCTAATCAGTAATAGAGTTCACAGCTCACCGTCGAAACCTTCGCCTTCAAATTTATGGCTATCCAGATTTATCCACGTTGAATCCAGCCTCGACTTGAGCCTCCAAGATCCAAATCAACCTCTCAAAATGGCGACTGTTCCCTTTAAGAGCCGGTATGTGTACTGAAGTTCATTATCTTGAGTCAATATGACCGATAACCTCTTAAAATTAAAGATAAGTTTAAAATATTAAAGAAGTCAATTTGTGGCAGATTTAGTACAAATAAGTCCCGCTTTAAAGTGGCACTAGTTGATATTTTTCTTATAGTTTCTCCACCGTCTTGAATTTCCGATCGTGTGTCACTGAAATGTGAACGTTTTGGACACTTAACCATCGGCAGTAATTGTTTTACATTTTACTTGTACGTCTTGCGATATAACTCGTGTGAATACACGACCGTCTTGTACGTGAACGTTATTGGCAGAGGGGTGATACTTCACTTGGGATGATAAGCTTGGGAAATCGAGCTGGGATCACAGGAGATGATAAGAAAGTGACATCAGGTGTTTAAAGATGGAGGCAGGGTCGTATATAGATGCTATTGTTGGAGTTGTAATGGTCGCCATCTTTCTGGTTGTTATGGTGATGTTGTATCGAACTGATTGGGAAGTCGATTGGTTCAATGAGGTGACGATGCTTTTGAATTTTTTTTTTGAATTTTTCAATCTGAATTAAGAAGGACATTTTATTTTTTTTATTTTTCTAAATATAAGCGAATGAGTGTCAGAGAGCAGACTCTAGGTCGGTGGAAATTTTGAAATTAATTCTCTGGCTACATGTCATAGAGGGATAAGCTCATTCCCGTGGCTTTTTTTCGGAAGATAATTTTGATTATATTAATTAATAATATTCATAAATGAGCAAAATATTAATTGATAAGCGCATAAATGTCACAATGCAGACGGTCGGTCTATAAATAAAACTCAATATTTTTGGGATGCTACAATCGGCTAAGTGTCATTCGGGGATAAGCTAATTAACTGTTCATTTTGATAATTTTTTATTTTTAATTAATCATATTTTTAAAATGAACATATTAATTGATAAGCGTATATATGTCATAACGTAGACTGTTGGTCGGTTGAGATTTTTGAATTAATATTTTAGGATGCTACAATCGGCTAAGTGTCATGTAGGGATAAGCTAATTAACTGCTCTTTTGAATAATTTTGGATTTATTCATAAATGAGCATAGATAAGCGCATGAGTGTCATACTTGGACACAATCCTCAAAAATATTGAATATTTTTTTAAATTTTATAAGGAAGGATTTGTCCATTATTACTCTAAATCCTGCCATTTTTCAGACAGTCTGCAAAAATATTTAAAAATCGGCGACAGAATTGTTAAGCGCACCAACAATTCATCCCCCCTCCTTGACACGTCTTCCCAATAATCCTGTCGTATAAACGGTGCTTTACTTCCTCTCATGTTAATATTTTGCTTCTCTGATTTTTCAGCCGTTTAGACCAACTGAACCGGAAATGTACCATATTTCCGGACGACCAAATCTTGGATATACTGCGTCTCTTGCGTCCTCTGTAGACAGTTTTGCGTCTTTACCAACGTTTGAAACGACAGTTTGATATGCTGTAAAGATGAATTTAAATGTATCGTATGGACAAAATGCATTGTAGAGCACACGTGCAATGGACGTGCTTTTAATTTTCGGTTTATTCATCGTGTCGGTATGCATCTGATGTGCTATTAAAGTGAATTGTCAAAAAGTATTGTGTATATGCCCCGTTTTCACTATACTTCACAGAAAAAGATAGCAAAATCATTATTTTGTTAATGTATTTGGTATATATAATATGCACGTGTAATTTGAAACTTAACCTGGAATCTGGTATAGATATTATAGAGATAACTGACTTCCAGTTCCTTTTCTCTTACAGTCATTAATTGTGTAAGCTATTTCCGTTTGTACCTTGGATAAAGTTTCACTTGACATTAATAATCCTGTGCCTGTGCTTTCATGGCATTACTTGACGTAATGTTACAACCTAAAATGCCAATTAAATATGTTCCTCAAGTCGCCAGATAACTCTTTCCGTCAATAATTAACGAAAATGGTGATTATCAGTGTTCGGATTACGAACAAATCCTGTACTGAGTAATTGACACTAATGTAAGATTGTTTTATTGTGTTAAGATGATGAAATATTGATAAGGAACAGCCTGTACTAGAGACATGGGTAGGACATCC